ACCAGGATTTAAATTTACATTTTTGAATGTATAGCACCAGACGTTGAGATTGTTGATTTAATAACGGTAACTCAATCGGTTAAGAGATACGGATTCAAATCAAATCCCACTTGCTTGGAAATGTTTCACAGTAATTATTAGATTATAATTTTCGATATTTCAAAAATATTTTTGCTGAAACTCTTATTATATCTGATTTTTTATCCCATCTCATCATTCGTGAAATATTATAAACACAAAAATAATTTCTGTTGTCAGCTTGTCTGGACTGAACTATGCGTTTCATTTGACATAATTATGGGTGCTTTAAAACGTCAAAGCCACTTTACGACTTTATCAGAATAACATTGGAAGAGATTTTACTCGTATCTCTGTTCAAATCCAGTTTCAAATTATTTGAAATTACAATTTCATAATCTAAATTCCTCATACTCTGTGTTTGTCCATGACAGGTTTTTAAAAGATAAAGCTCCATTGCGCTGGGGGAGATTAAATGTAGAAAATTAATTAACGCTGCTCCGATAGTCTAAGTGCCCATTCGCTTGACACTGATGTGGAAAACTTCGAAGGTCTCAGTCAACTGCAGTGAGCTTTGATTTATCGATCAGTTCCTGCGGGGATATTTTCTTTTGTTTTCCTTTGTTACCTGTTTGTTGTTTGTACTGTATTGTTTGCTGGGAACTTAACATATTAGTGCTATGATTTCTGTGTACGAAAGAAATGATCTTAATTTATATAAAAATAAAGCTAAATGATGCCGTAATTCTTTTTACAAACCAACAACGATTTACCGTGCAGGCTAACGGAAAGTAGTAATAATAGCTTATAGACATGAATAGCATTATAACATTGTAATACCCGTGGTATCTCTCAGGCATTGTCATTCCCGAGGACGAAAGCGTACCCCCACCATTCAAGTCGAAACACAACCATGGAAGCAAAATTGCTTAGCAGCAGAAAAACGAGTGGGATAGATCTATATTGACCACTATTGTACAAACTTTTCCTTTGGTACTTATACTCAGTAATTATACGAAATTATATATATATATATATATATATATATATATATATATATATATATATATATATATATACCCTACCCGAAACCACCTGGGTGGTGTGGAAAGGATCGTTAGTAACTGTAACTTATGGCCCCATTGCTATCAATACACCCTGTTAAACTCATTCAACCTCAACTCCACACGATCCCCAATGGAAATCATCCTGGTTAATTCTTGATGAAGACGTCACGATGAGCCAACTGACCTGCTTTCGTTATCACATATCATCCCACACTGGTGCCCCGCCAGCGTATACCAATAGCGCAGGCGGCGTTACCATTCCATTATTAGCCATTAAAAAACCGTCTTCACAACATAACCGTAATACTTGTAATAGATAGGCTAATATATTCTTTTTTATGGGAAGAGCTTCCTGACAAAGGAACGTAAATGTGTTGTCATGGCATAAATACAAAATATACATATTTACGAAAAATATGAGATTAGAGAAACGTGAAAGCTTTAAAATATCTAACCGCAATGAATTAATTACATTAAAAGCTTCTAGCTTAATGTCCGTACCTACTTAAACTAATTACTTTGCAAGGCGTGAATAAATGTTTATTGCAGTACATTAAAAAAGCTACGCTCATGTTCTATAATGTGAGTGCCAAAATTTTCGAATCTTTGTAACTCCATTACGGAATATCGAACCGCAGATTACATAAAAATCTATATCTGGTTGACGGGAATTTAATGACAATTGTTGTCACTTCGTCTGGAAATTTTGTTGATTTCACTTTTGCCACAGGATACTGATCTTGAATGAACAAAACAATAAAATAGTAAGTTCATAATTAAATTGTTAAGATTATACCTACAATGCTGTCATATACAACAGTAATATAACATGCCCTCATATTCAAATGTTTAGTCTAGACCAAACATTTAAATATGAGCCTAAATCTCTGAATATAGCGGTCACAGCTCTATCAGGCACACTTAGTTGCGGTCCGGGATTTCAAACAAATCTCAGCCTTAACCTCAAAATTTCCAAATTCAGCATTAAATGATTTAAAAAATAATTGTGACTTGCTTCATGCTTCAGATGGTGTGTAGGATGGGTAAACATCTTTATGTATAATGAAGGCAGCCTATTAACTCGACACACATCTGATGACGTCACTGTCATATAAATAGCTGTAGTCTAATAAACTCATTTTTGCATAAATTTGATTAATTTTTTAAATAGTAAATATTTTTATGAAAGTATCATACAGGATCGTATCCACCTCTCCACCAGTATGAAATATTTGATTACGTCTCGCATCTGAATTGATTATTAAAAAAATAAAAAAGCAAAAAATCGTGCAATTTATTTCAAAAAAACTTCATTTTATTTTGTTACTAGTTACTGAGAAAAGTAGATATTTATTTTTTAATTTATTTACTTATATTTATTAATAAAACTAAATAAAAATAATAAATAAAACAATAAATACTATCAAAATCAGATTATTCTACTAAATATAAAAGATTACACAAAAGATAAAAAGGAATTTTTCGTTGCTCAAACCTTTCTTATGTATTCTGAATCTATAACTCCCTTGAGCGAGCATACAATATAAAGCTTTCTACACATAAAGACATTCTTCTATACTTACGAATGGAACGCGGAAAATGAGAAGCAAAGGACTGTTACAAAACGATAGGTTTTGTATCTACGGCTAACATAGAAATATATTTCTTATCACAAAATAATTTTCCCACAAAAGTAAAGGTGACATAAACAATAATTAATAACACGTAATAGTTATTCTTGATAGATAAGAAAACATGATATATAGTAAAAGAATAAATAATATATTTTTTGTTGTTATTGATCATTTGTATAATTGTTATTGAATAAATGAATATGGATATATGAATAGACACATATATTCCTATGGTGTATAATTATTATAATTATTTATAATATAAGATGTATAAGAATAAAAAATATTAGAATTTTACTTATTCTTATGTTAAATAACTACAACCTTCATTTACATAAACTAATTTTATATTTTTAAAAGTAGGATCTATTATCAACTGTAATTTTTTTGTGTGCTTGTTACGACACGCGATATTAACACCTATTCTGATCCATGTTTAGTCCCATATTCACCCCTTACCTACCACCTAATTTTTCTCGCTATTTTTGTCGTTTTTGTGGAACAAAATATTAAATTAAGTATACTAAATTGTAATAAAATATGTCTAAGTACTTTCAATACGTACTTTGAATAAAATTATTAATTTCAAATTTACAATATGACAGCAATGAACTATGACACTGAAATTATCACTGCTGTAAAGTAAAATATTGGATATACTTACGTATATAAAAAAAAATTACGTGCGGTAAATTTAGAGATGAAAAATGTTTGAGAATTTATCTATCTAAAAAGTACTTTTTACATACAATATGATATGTGCTAAGGGTGTTACTGCCTAATTTGCAAAGTTAACAGGGTGGTAGGAAGATGAGAGCGTAATGCGTCAGCAGTAATCCACCCTAAAGTTAAACGTAAACATGTAGCAAACTGTGCGAACGATAGAGCATTTGCCATTTTCTGACTTTAGTCTGCGATTATTTAGCTGTCCGTATTTTTTTTATCATTTCGTCTTTTCATTGTCCACTGCTGAGCTTAGACCTACATATTATATAGACCTTTATATTTCCACAAAGAAGGATTTTACTTCTTTAAACAAGTGGCAAACGATTCTATACTTACATGATACAGCAGACACGCCAGACGTTTCGTTCTTTTGCATGCATGAGGTAATAAAAACGTTTATAATGATTCGTGTGCTACTCGTTTCCTAACATTGATAGTCAGTCCAAGTCAAGCTGATACTTCTTGATAAACTTAATATTTTAAATACACAATCGGAACTTAACGCGAAGTAAAAGCCTTTACATATAAATGGTACCTACATACCTGCTTATTTATTGCCGACGTTTCGTGGTCATGATCCTGTCAGGACCATGACGTGGTGCAATCCATGTCGTGACGGTATATAAGTACCTATTATAAGTTTCCCTGTAAAGTCTTTTACATCGCGTTAAGTCCCGATTGTGTATTTAAAATATATGTAAACAACGCGAGAGTTTAAAATTAACTAAAGTTATATTAAATTTGTGTTTACACAATATTTATAAAGAGACTTTACTTGTAGTTTATTGCTTGTTAATAGAAAAATACTGTTCCATATAATAATTAAAATCTTCATTAATAATAACAAAAATATTAAACAGAATTAATAAGAAAACTAAAAATATATAAAAAGCTTTAACTTTTTTAGTTTATATTACGAGTTTGTTAGACAATGTTTTACTTTACAAAACATGAAACAGAATTTAGTTATACTACAGTGAGCTTTTAGCTCATACGAAATTCTATGTGTAGTACCAAATTAGATTTGAAAGGAACTTTTGTATTTGTTTCACGAATAAATTGACAGTATCTACGTGCTTCATAGGCTTTCTAAGAGACTGTCCGAGTCTTTATTTTCCTTATTGTGTATTTATATAAATATATTTAGGATCGTTGTATGTATTTTATAAAAAAAATTTTAGACTCCATATTTTTACAAAATTTATAAGTTCTTATAAATTTTGCGTGTTCGACTACAATCTCCACAAAATTGTTAGAAAGAATGCATAATTTGACCTTTTATTAGTTTTTTGCGCTCTTGATTGTTTACATTTGATTTTATTTTATACCTGTCAATGTCGTACTCCTTTTTTATTTCACCTATACTCTTCATGCGCAATTTAATCACAGTATAAAGAACAACTAATGTTCCAAATTAGCATATTCTTAAGAATTACAAAAACATTTAGTAGTGTTCTACTTATTCATTAGACGACTGGTAGGAAAGTTCCTACCAATTTTTAGTCTGTGATAGAATCTTCTGTGTACATTTGATTGTTATACTCTTCTTTTCTAGGCAATCCTCGCAACAAATGTGCCCTCCAACCAGGCCACAGTCTCATGGACTGGATCCGACTTGGCAACTCGGGGAAAGATCTCACCGGCGTCGGAGGAAGAGTGCGACCCGTCTCACCCGCGGAGTTGGCCACACACAATACACAAAGTTAGTATTAAATAACACTTACATCCACATAAAGATAAAACTGAGACTGTATTATCAAATGACGGTTAACAACCAATACCTCCTAACTAGCATTTATAAAATAGATTTAGGATTTTTTCTAAATTATCTATCTCCTTTTCTGTGTTACATCAAAACCGACCAACTGCTTAACTTTTTAATTTCATCGTATTTTAAATAGATTGAAAATTAGTATATTTTCTATGATTTCTATAAATTTTTTGTGAAACACTCGTTGAACGCCGCTTTGTGTCTTTAAGGTCCTGACTTCAATACTTGGTCTGAACATTGTAGGGAACGAACTTTTGTAAATTATTTCTCGTCTGAGTTATCTGGGTTATGCTCTAGATATTAGTTGTATGGTTTCTCATAACGTATGATAATTAATATCCAAGCTTGAGGATCAGACGGTAGGTGTGACTCTAATTTAGTTCACTCTCTGTATTGTAAATTCTTGATGAAACTAATATAATGATGTTATTATTTGATATTTTTGTAGGCACCTACATCTTGTAATACAATACATTCTACAGCTAACGTGAAGATCGTAAAAGATTAGAACATTGCAATCATCATCATCATATCAACTATTAACTGTCCACTACCGAACATAAGCCTCGTAATTAGGCATTCCTCGACCATTAAGTTCCCTTAGTCGCCTCTTACGACACCCACGGGAAAGTCAGGGGAGAAATAAACATTCCAATACCTATCTAATATTACTACAGATGGGCAAAGCACCGGGTTTAAACCCGGTGCTTTGGTAAAAACCCAATAAACACCCATAAACTCCCATAATCACCCAAAAAAATAGGTTTTTACGTATTTTTTTGAAAATATGTAAGTAATACCAATAAATTATTTTTATAAATTGTATTGATCAATTCTACAATATTAAATAAAACGTTAACTAATAATATTTCAGGAAATTTTAAAAATCTATATATAATAAAATGAAAGTAATTAATTTTCAGTGTTTTCATGTTGCAGTTGATCAACATGTTGGCCTTTTGCTTCCCGTAGATACTTTAAAATTTCTTCATAACACCTCGTTCGCACACATGGCCGTATATATTTAAATTCTTGAGCCACTAACAGTCCGAAATACTCATTTCTTTTATCCTCTTCTCCATAAATTAAGCATTTAGAACAGTTTGTTTCTTCTTTCAGTAAATTTTCTTTTACTTTATCCTCGTTTTTTTCTTTGTTGCGACGACGCTGGGTAAATCATCTGGACACTGGGTCTCACTATCGCCAAATATATTTGGAGATCGGCTTCGGCTACGGCTTGGCAGACATTTTTTTCTTTCTACAATTTTAAATTAAATTTATTAGAATAAATGCTTCGAACACACGCGATCTAAGTACCTTTTGTGTTTATTATACCTTACCTACCTAGGTATAAAAAGAGTACTTACGTAGATTTTCTTTTATTAACTGTTTTATACGAAGATCTTGATCTCTCAAATTAGCATCCATTTTACTTCCAGTGATTATCAACTAAATTAATAATCCACAAAGTATTAAATAACGTTTTTATGAAATATTTAGCACAAAAACAATACCCTTTAAATATCGATCGTCAGTAACTGTGGCTGACTTACCTATATTCTAGCAAGCAGGACTGCCAGATGTGAAGGGGAAATCCCCAATAAATTGTTGCATGTGACTGATGATGTGAGCATGTTCGTTTCATAATAAAAATGTTGCCAGGTAACCAAAAAGTCGTATGTTTTTGTGCGAATTACGATCATAATCTTTACGATCGTACATTAAAAAATAGACAAATAATAGTATGAGTACGATTTAAATCGTATATCTGTCAACCCTGCTAGCAAGACAGCGACAAAATCACGTTGCATAACAATGTAGCCCAAGCTTATATCTTATGAAATATACGGAAGAGATACGGACTTAGAAAAAACAGAAATGTTGTTCTTTGTGGAAGTCATTGATGAAATTCTATGTATTTTAGCCCGCAAACTTTCTTCAAACAAAAACAGCGCCATCTAGTATCGAGTTCTGTAATTATCTCTTTGTTTATGGATTTGAAGTAAGACCGCCACGCATGCAATACATTATGACTGGGGATTCCCCTATTCGTCGACGCTGAATATGAGGCGACGACAATCACTGTCAAACGTGTTCACTATTACTCTGACTCTGGTAACGTGACTTCCTGGTAACGTGTTAGGTAGGAAAAGCAGTAAAAAAGTGCATATTAAGGGAGCAGATTTGAAATAATATTTATACTTAACAAGAAATAATTAAAGGTAAGTGGATTTTTGAATGATACAATTATATCATGATCACTTAACAATTTTAACTTAAAATTAGATGTATTATTACAAGCTTTTATTTAGCTTGCGTTATGTAAATAAAAGTATGTAGGTATGTTCGTATGTTGATGCAATTATCCTCAATCCTCAACCGACTGGGATAAAATTTTCCATACACGTTTATTTTGGATGATAGTGCATAGTTAGCTGAGAGTCGTCATTGGATAATAATGGTGGATAGCCTAAGATGTGTACTAGATATTTATTTTTAACATAATATGCGTAAGTACCTAATCGAATTAAAGAAGTTGCTGAGAAAAATACAGAACAATACGATAATAAACTAGCGTCTGCGTTTAATCCTCCGAGGAGATGTAATTTTACAAAGGTTTTTTGTATTTATTTTTTTTTTTTTTTTATTAAATTTATTGTAAATAACAAGAAATAATCATTGTAAAAAAATAGGCACTCTATTGTTGAATTTTCGTCAGACCAACTAATCATCGTTCATTTTTTTAGGTTCAATGGGGACCGTACTTTACCAAACAAGTCTGTTTCTTGCAAGCTTTGTAATAAGGTCTACAAATTCAGTAATGCTGCCAAAATGCTTCAACATCTTATCACTTGTCCAAAATCTCCAGAAACATTAAAAGACTCTATGAAACTTATAAAAGATAGCTCGTCCAAAACCAAAATGTCTGGACTGTCAGAGATAGAGACAAATGATTCTTTTATAAGCCCCTCGTCGTCTGCTAACACTACAATAAATGCTGAGTTTCAAGACACCGATGATCATATAAAAACAGAATTAGCGAGAGCTATATTTGTAACAGGGACGCCATTATCGATGGTGCAACATCCTTTATGGATACAATTTTTCGAAAAATTGCAACCAAAATTTAAAATACCTTCACGTAAAGCTTTAGCGACAAAATACTTAGATAAAATATATAGAGAAATGCGTTTTGAGTTAAATGAGGAACTAAATGCTTGTAGTTACTTACACCTTCAGTGCGATGGCTGGTCTAATTTAAGAAATGAAGGAATAATAAACTTTCTTATATCAAAACCTCAACCTGCATACGTTAAAAGTTTGAATACAGAAAGTAATCCTCACACTAGTGAATACCTTAGCCAAGAAGTTGAAAAAGTAATGAAAGTGTATGGAGCAAATAAGTTTCTTGTACTTATTGGCGATAACGCTAGAAATATACAAAAGGCATTCGAATTAACAAAACTCAAATATCCACATGTTGTTCCTCTCGGTTGCTGTGCACATATCCTTAACTTGTTGTGCCAAGATATTGTAAAGATACAAGAAGTAACTGTGTTTATTATGCAAGCCATAAATATAATAAAAACTGTTAAAAGGAGTCAACGATTAAGTTCCTTGTTGATAAAATCAAGGCAGGGTGAAGATTCTACACAAACACTAAAATTGCCTTGTGCTACAAGATGGGGAAGTCATGTTACTTCGTTAAAAAGTTTGAAAGCAAATAAGATAGCTTTGCAAATATTAACAGTTAGAGAAGATGTGGTAATTTCAAGAGATATTAAAGATTTAATTCTAAGTGATGATTTCTGGACGAAGACAGGGGAATGTATAAGTATTTTGGAACCAGTCACTGAAAGCATATTTTACTTAGAGAGCGACCAGAATCGTTTGCATCGCACATACATTACATTTAGAGATGTACAAGCTAAGATACGTTTTGCATTAAATGAGATTTCGACATTGAGCGAAGAAAGCAAACAGCAGATTCTAACATCAGTATCTTCAAGATGCAATATGGCAATGAGGCCAATACATTTTGCAGCATATATTCTAGACCCCAGGACTCTAGGAGTCGAACTTACTCAAGAGGAAGAACTTAAGGGTATGGAGTTTATCTACAATTTAAGCCAACACTTAAGTTTGTCAAATGTAATGGCAGATTTGGCGTGTTATAAAGCTAAAGAAAACTTTTGGGCCAGAGGATTTGTATGGAGCTCATTAGATAGCATTGAGCCCCTAATATGGTGGAAAGGTATTTGTGGTTCCACTGAGTTAAGCAAAGTAGCGATTCGTATTCTATCAGCTCCCTGTACTTCGGCAGCCACTGAGCGTTCCTTTAGTATCCAAGGCTACATACATAATAACAAAAGAAATCGACTTACAACTGAAAGAACTGAAAAAATTTCATTCATTTGTTATAACTGGAATCTTAAACATAAAGCTGAATGCGAGGACATTCAGTTTAATGAAGAAAATACCTTAGAAGCTTTCATTGAGCAAGTAAATGAACATAACAGTTTAGACGAAATAGAGCCTATCGAACCTATACAATTCATCGCTTGTAATAACTCTGAATCTGACAGTGATTGACTGTAGTTTTACATTTTACTTTCATCTCTTTCTTAATAAACTCAAAATCAAATTAAAAGTTTTTTATTCTGTAGGCTGCATAATAATATTGTCTATGTCCAGTATAGTGGACGTCTTGCGGCTGAGATGACGATGATGAAGTACAAAATCATAAACACCCAAAAATTTGGGTGTTTATGGGGTTTAAACCCAATAAACCCAAAACACCCGGTTTTTACCCACCAGACTTTAAACCCACCCAGGTGGATTGCCCATCTCTAAATATTACAGAACAAATTCTAAGAAAACAATTCAACATCGAATTTATTATTGTGGTAAAGATAGAGTATTATATTGTTATTTTCCAAAATAGGTATTTCAATTTAAATTGATTTTCTAAATTTGTACATCGAGTAGATTAAGTGCTTTGTCATAAAAACAGTTACTTTAAAATTTCATATATTTGATGCATTATAAAGAACTTTGCATAAATAAAATACCAGTAGGTATGTCTGCTCTTTACGACTTCTATATCACTTACGTTTATAATAATAATAACAACTCTTTATTGCGCACAAAAGAAATGTATACAAGGAGTATTTATACAGAATGTGTATACACAAAGGCGACCTTATCGCTAAAAGCAATCTCTTACAGTCAACCTGGCATAAATTGTAAATAAATACAGAGAGAAAGGTAGATGACGCAAGTCAGACACAGTAAATACAAAAAAAGTAACCTAATAAAATGCGTATATGCTAAATATCATTTATATAAAAATAAAACGAAATTACATAAACATAAATATACTAAATAGATGAAGGTAAATAACACATAGTAAACATTAAGTTAAATTAGAGAGATAGGTAATGAGATTTTACCTGCCTTTTGAATGTGGCAATAGACTACGCTAATCTAATGGAAAGAGGTAAGGAGATTCAGAGACGAATGGCTTGGATGGAGAAAGAATAGGAATAGAATTTAAAAGAATGGATAGGAGTTACTAAACGTACGACCCTGAGAATTGACATGAAATTCAAAGCACATTTTGAGGTAATCGGGAGTATAACATTTTTTCGCAAACTACGCATTTTTTAAAATAAAAAAGAAAAGTTTTCACTTCATAATTTTCAAATTATTAATATATGCCATCTGAAAGCAGATAATATATTATTTTAAAAGAAATTCTCTATACCTTTTATTTACAATATCTAGAACGCAAACTTTATCCAAAATAATGATCAACTATCAACGTCTACATTGGTAGTAAGTAGGTACTCGGTTAATTCATCGATTTTTTAATTACTGTTTAATAACGTCAAACATACTCCCGGTTAAACAAACATTTGTTAATAGTGTCTCGTATTGAGTTGAAACACGTGTAAGAATAGTACGAAGGTATATATTAGCAGAGTCAACAGTATCAAACTTAGATGTTATATATATACATAAGAGTATATGCATGAAATCAGATTACCGAACACCACATTTCCACTAAACATACATGTATGTAGACGGTTAATACCAAGTATTATGCATATTGTGATACATATGTAAAACATATTTTCAATATCTAGATATCACAACAACTACTTATACAAAATACATGTCTCAGACGCAACGTTTGACATTTGATTTGTGTTTTGGAACATTTACATAACAAACTCAAATAGATTTATGAACTAGGTTGTAAGATATTGTGGCATATCTCGAAGCCTAAAGCTCAGACACCTCAATCTTGAAAGCTTAGAGGCAGCAAATAATAACTGGCTCTTATTGCCATTATAATATCACTCGAAAGCCCTGGTTAAGGGGTTTCGGAAAATTACTCTAAGAAATTCTTTTGAGTACAAATAATATATAATGTATTAACAAGGGCCCTCACTGGACGCTACAAACTAAACAAGCACATAGCCCAGCTAGACTTATGTCCAAAAAGTGTTTGCAGATTTTGTCACAATGTGCAGGAAACGCCGCATTATTTAATTTATGGCTGTAGCCCACTCATACATAAAACGATATATCTCCTTTGAGAAATACACTTTATTACACCTGAGGGGATAAAAAAACATCGCTACAAAAAACATTAGTAGCGAACCTTAAAAAAAGGCGAGCACAAAAGATTGCAGTGTTTTTCTGTCTGAAAAAAGCCCGTCTCTTAATAATATTAATAATATATATAGGATATAGGATCAGATAGGCCCTTAAAAATTCCAGAACAATATGCAAAATTGTGCGCAACGAAAAAACGCTCCCGTAGCAGATTAACCCTAAATGAAAATTAAAGAAGAGTGAGTATTCATTTGCTTGGTCGAAATTTTATTAATATATTAATTGTTGTATTTTCAGGTGATGCCTGGTTGGCTATCCGAGGGCGTGTTTATAATATTACACATTACTTACCTTATCATCCTGGAGGTAATTAACATTAATATGTTAAAATTATTATATTCACAATAAGCGGATGCTGAGAGACTTACCCATATATGAACGCACAACGGAAACCACTGAATTAGGAATCTTAGAGACGTACAATTTTATATTTGGGCTCTATGTGCAAAATAAAGATTAAAATGTTTATTGGCTTCTGAAAAATTCACCCCTAAAGGTGTGAAATAGAAAACGGAAAGTTTGTATAAAATAAGAACAGTATGAAATAAGAGCTAGCAAAGCCACGGACAAAAGCTATTCTATTAATAAACCGATTTTATAATTTTGTAATTAAAATCACAAATTTATTTATAGGACCAGAGGAACTGATGCGCGGTGCTGGAATAGACGCAACTCAGCTTTTCGACAAAGTGCACCCTTGGGTGAACTATGACTCTCTGCTGGCGAAGTGCCTTGTTGGACCACTTAGGTTCGATCTCCCTAGTGCTGAGGAACTATTCGACAATACGGGTTCTTCGCCGAAATCCGACCGTCTCCGAGAACCTTCTAAAGCACAAGAATTAGTGAGAAAGTCAATGGAAAACTTAGCAAATTGTATTACACCTGTTAGAAAGAAAATAACTTCTAAAAGCGAAGAAAACGTCAAGGGGAGCCCACCGAGTAAAATTATGCAAAGCTTGATCCAGTCAAGTGATTTGCCTGTTTCGATAAGCCGGAGAGCTGGGTCCAGTCCGATTAAAACGGCGGATAAGCCTGAAGTACCGGCCCTTCGCTATGATTGGATTCAAACGTCGACTAAATTGACGATATCTGTGTACACCGGGCCATTAGCCAACCCCGGGGGATGTGCGAGGATAACTGAAGGGGTCTTGTTAGTTGAAGTGGCTAATAATGGTTGGTTGAGGACGCTGAAATTAATCCCCGAAGCGAAATTACAGGAGCCACTACAATTGAAAGTATACGCTGAAAGTGGGAAAATAGAGGTAAATAATCATAGAATATACTTATTGTGCGTGTTGTGACCAAAAGTTTAATTTTTTTGTTCATGTTTTTCAGTAACGAATAGTTAATTAAAGCCGTAGTGTTGGTGATAATATTTTAAGAAGTAGTGTTAATACCTAACAATATCTAATATAGGTGTAAAGCTCATAAGAGTATTTCCAAATTGGACTTATCTTCTCAGTGTATTTTTTTATGCTTCCTGAATCCTTACTATATATTTAATATAAAAGTGAGTTTGTGTGTTACGTTGTAGCGCCGTAACGACTTAACCAATCAATATGAAATTTGATATACCTACACGTACTGTGTGGGGTAGATTCTGCTAATGCGGTCGAAGTCGCGGGTAGAAACTAGTTACTAAATAAGTTGACGGTCCACCTGATGGAAAGTGGTAACCGTTGCTTATAGACATAAAGTGTACCACGGATAATATATAATACACATTGATTCCCATGGTATCCCTTAGACGCTGCTATTCCTGAGAAATAAGGTGTTATACCTTCGTAACCAGAAATTTATAAAAATCTTTTCAGATTGCACTACTACTCTTCTTCATCATAGACGCAACCTTTTCTTAATGCACACTTACGTTAACGCATTATTTTGGGTATTACAGTAACCGGAACCTATTATAATTAACCTAGTACTATATTTAGAATTTAAGATTATCCCACAAAAATAATCGACTTCAATTTATACAAAATAATAACAATAAAAACAAAACCAGTTAATTTGAATTAAAAACTATTTTGATGAAATTTCTATGGGATATGCTTATAATATCTTTTTAGATAAAAAAAAAGAATTTTCCAATAAACATAAAAATAATCCAACCAAACTGAGAACCTCCTTCTTTTCGAAGTCGGTTGAAAATATCATTGTCATCATGCCATTAAGTAAATGGCATTAGATAATTCTAATAGAATCTAATTAGATAAAGTGATATTAGTTGAAGCTACTTCCTAAACTGTTTAAAGTTACAACTTGTATTGACCTACTGACCTATCCACCTCACTGAAAAAGCGGATGATGTACTTAATTAAGATTTATTGGATACTAGCTTTTATCTCCGCTACTTCGTACACGTGGACCTTAGAATTAGGAAAACCAATGAAATGCCACTCTATATGTAATATTATAATTAAAATGTTTATTTATATTTAAAAAGAAACGAACAGAGTTTTGTGTTTCCGATCGAACTGTTCATAATTATTCTTCTCCATCCAAAGATTGTCTGGAAGAGATCTCTATTAGCAATAAGGCCGTCCATTGTTTTCTCAGTGTAATCTTTTATACATGCAATAAAACATTATCAACAACAGTATTTAGAATAAGTTTACTAATGTAATCTTTTGGAGAAATAATAAAGAGTATTTGTCTATTTTTGATGGGTGAAAATGGTATGGTAACCCCGCCTACGCTAACGGGATACGCTGGCGGAGCACCAGTGAAGGGTGATAGATGAGAATGAAAACAGGCCAGTTAGCCCATTATGATGAATTCATCAGGAATTAACCATGATAGTTTCCAGGGAGAATCGCGAGGAGGTCGACCTGGTTGGGTATATTGCTAGCAATGCGATTCTCAGTCTCTATTACTAAAAATCCCTTTCCCCCCTTTGTCTATTATTTTATCTATAAAAAAAATACTAATAGTATTAATATCTGTTACTATTTTTAGATTATCGCTCAAAAAATGGAGCCGTGCGTTTGGAAAAGCTGTGGCGAAATAAGTGTCGGCTCAGCAACACGAGTGTCTTCACCACGGACATTGGAGTGTAGTGTAGTACACGTGGGACGAGTGGCCCACGACACGACGCTGCTGGCGCTGCAACCACAGTCCGGCTCAGTAGTGGTACCGCTAGGTCACCACATCCGTGTCCACAAACAAATATCAGGTACATTTTAATAATATTTGCACCTCGATGTACGTTCCTCATAATTACATAATACTATAGCTAACTTCGTGTGCATCGCTCTTTAACGGTTCACGGGGTATCCGGACAGTAAGATAAGACGCAAGCGAGGGTGTCGATAACGTAATGTTAAGCACATTACCGTTTCCATTTCCATAATCTAATATATACAATATCTCTATCTCTTTTTATCTCCAGGATATCTTTAATGATTACGAAGATGAAATACAATAATGCAGTGTGAATAAAGGAAAACGAACGCTGCAAAAAAATCAAAATAAAACTAAATTTAATGTATGTACTATATGGGATAGTGGATGATATTTGATTCTTTTTATTCCGGTCAGTAAACATATCCCGGTCACGCAAACGAGGTCACGGGTAAAAGCTAGCTTCAATATAAATTCAAAGTTTGGAACTTTGCGCCAGCAAAATAAGTAATACCTGATAATAATATTTATCTAGTAATGAAGACCTTGATAATATAGCTTAGTGTAGTTCGATCCCTTCACAATAAAAACATTTGTATTCATGTTTGTATTGATCTGGGTGTTTTATAGATATACATATATGTACAACACAAAAAAGAGAATTTTGGTCTATCAGTTGTCTAATACCCATAAAGTCTGCTTCAAATGGGATAAGATGACGCTGTGTGTGTGCAAGTTCAGTGTCGTTTATTTATTTAATAATTTATCAACACAAATTCCAGGTGGCGACTATGTGCGTTCTTACACTCCTGTCGGCGAAGGCTGGGGTACGCAGAATAGTAGTGAGATTGTGACTCCTCTCAAGCTCGCTGTCAAGAAATACGACGACGGCATCCTCTCCCCGTATCTGACGGCACTGAACGTAGGTGATTCGGTGACGTTGTCTGGACCTTATGGCAACTTCCATTTGCAAAAAGTAAGTTTTATATTCACATACATTTCCTTTAATCCTTGTTACCATTCAGTTTAGGTTCATATTAACGCATTTGTTTTCACGAGCGCGCCTCTACACTACTCTACTGTATTATTAATTCATAACTGCATAAATTTAATGTTAATAAATATAAAGTAGAAATAGGATCAGCAGTCTCCTAAAGAGTAAGTCTCTGTGCAAAGCTTGTCTATGTTAGCGCTCAATCAATTGCAAATCATATCTACCAAGTTCTAAATCATGACAAATATATACCTAATATTATGTAACCTATTGTAAAAGGGGGAAAAGGGATTGTTAGCAATGGAGTTTGGCAGCCCCATTGGTAGCAATATGCCCTATTAGATCGACCTTCACGTGGTTCCCCCTGGAAACCATCATGAACAATTCTTGTTGAATTCGTCACGATGGGCTAACTGACCTACTTCATCCTCACCTATCATCCTTCACTGGTGCTCCGCCGGTGTATACCGATAGCGTGGCTGGGATTACCATTCCATTATCACCCATTAAAAAAATCCTATGGTAAAACAATTATTCTTATTTTACTTATATTTTTTCCTATTTTTTTTAAGAACTATAATATACTTGAATAAAGAAAAGAAATTCTCTTCAATCTAAAAACCTGTAAGTAAATTAGTGGAGTATCTTACCCACTAATTTACTTACAGGTTTTTAGATTACTTTCAGATTTTTCATAAGAATAAAAAAAAAAGAAAAACAAAAGAAAAATAACTTACCTCATGTACGCAGGCCGGAGTCGCTTTTACTCTTTCCTCAGATAGAACACGATCTGTCTATCGGGATATAATTGTCTAGGTTTCTCTCTAAATACCTATTTTCATTTAATTTCAGCTGAAGTCTGTGAAGATTATTTACCTAATAGCGGCAGGCACGGGAATCACTCCTATGCTAGGTCTACTACGATTCATGCTTATGAGATCAAATCCTAGATGGTAAGATTTTCTATATAATTAGACAATAATAATTTACAAACTTTTATGTTTGTATTATAAAAACTTTCAATTTTGATAATAATTATAATTATTAAAAATGTAAATAACCGTATTTTCAACTGTAGCTTATAAATATCATCTTTATTTTTACAGCGACAGAGTCCATTTGTTATTTTTTAACAAAACAGAAAGCGACGTCCTATTTCAAGAAAATTTTGAAGATATTACCAAGGAAGATAAAAGGTAAACAGATCTGTAATCCAATTTTGTAATATTGCTTTTTATCCCAATATATTTTTTGTTTCATCAAATTACCGGAATATTTTCAACGATCTTGACAGCTACTGGGGTCTTATTTTTCAATTTTAACTGCTGCTTTTGAGAATAAACAGAAACAAAACCCTCTATAAAAATCATGGTATCAATTTACCCGTAAATTCCACTGTTGGACTCGAATAATCTCATAAGAATCTACAATTGCTACAATGTTCTGATGACTCGGTATTAGTTATTTATTTTACTTTTTCTTGTACTAATGTATTTCTTATTATCTTAGATACCTCATCTAATCGCTCTTTTTGAAAATTACACAATGATTTGACATATTATTTAGTGAATAAATAGCATTTATAAGGGCATAATACGACATTTTAACCTATTGTCATCCATTAAAATGTTTTCTTTAAGCAAATAAATCATAGTGGTAACCATAGTGGTGACGATCAACCCATAGAAACTGATAAGTTATGAACAGTAATATTGATATTACGAAATATAGTGTGACACCCATGGGACCTCTTCTACGTTACTTTTTCCGAAGACGACAACCACGAGCGACGGTTACCATTTTCTATCAGTTGGACTATCTGCTTGTTTGTCATTCTAAATTGCATATAAAAGACGCAAAATCTTTCAGAGCAGAATCGAGTGGGACAACCATACCCAAGCAAATGAATTATGTGCAATCTCTTTCTTGCAAAACTTGGTGCCTAGCCTTTAACGATTACTTATTTTTATTTCAGGTTTACAGTCAAGCATATTCTATCCGATAGCAGTTCATCATGGACGGGTCCCAAAGGTCGTATCAGCGGTCAACTACTTTCCGAATTACTACCAAAAGAGACATTAACATGCGAGGAACGGTGTTGTCATTTTGCTTGCATATGTGGACCCACGGAGTTCACTCACGCCGGCCTACAAATATTGAAAAACCTAGGCATGAAAGAAAATTGTATGCATGCTTTCATAGGATAGGATTTATTTACTCTTATTTATCTACACATATGTATTTTTTGATAGCAAAAATCTCAGAGATAATGGATACCATTTTTTCATTCGTTGTAACACCAAAGTTCTGATAAAAATTTAAAATTTACTATGTTTTAAGTAAATGTGTCATTCAATCTCAAAGTTTTCAATCCATAAGTGTAGCTTAATTCTCCTGGAATAATTTCTTTTAAAAAATACTTCTACAATTTTTTTTAGTGCCAATGGAAAAGATGGCATGAGCATTCTTTAGTTGCTCAGCTACGTAGTATATTTACGAACAATTGTTTGCGTTCTTTTCGTCTAAATCTACGCCTGGATCTATGCTTTATCCTAGCACTTGTTCTGTATTTGTAGTAAATCAATGTTTAAACAGTGATAGAATCTTTGCATAAAGATGAATGCTTATCTGGTGGAAATTTCATAAATAACATTATGATCTTCGTTGTACATACTTACCTACTTACTCGTCTTTTTTAATAGAAGCATAATTGCTTGCCCATTGTTTACATAGAAAGCTCATTAACATATTGTAAACATGCGAAAATTTTACTAATGGTTATTTGGGAGGTACAGATAGTCAACTTTGTTGATATGCATCTGAATTTTGTATTGATTTCTGTACATTCATGTAGGTATGTAATGTGTAATTCAGATTTACCAATACGCTAAATGCTATTTCACCTTCTAGCTGTTTATATATTATACAATATGTACAAAACTGAGTATTAGTTTCATGATTTTTATACGCGAATAAACTTATTGTGTTAGCAATCTACAATATCTGTCTGCTATAAATCTGTGGTTATGAAAATTTAAATAAGCAAAATTTTATTAATAAAAGTAATGGTTTGAGGTAATTTTAACTAATTTTAAAGTAAAATTTAAAACGTAAAATTGAAACGGTTCGGAACCTTAAGGGCTTGAACTAAATACACAATGCATTTATGTTTTTAAAAATATACATACATAGGTAAATTGTTTCTTTATGACAATGTGTTAGCAGCAAACGTGAACGATAAGGGGAATGATTTTACTGTACTATTTTTCTATACTAATGGAAAATGCAATAATGTTTATTATATATTCAATACATTGTTATTTTAAATATTCCTGAAGTAACTATGTAGGCGTATTATTCATAACTGTATAGAAAGAATATGTATGTTTAGTGTACATTTGATTAAAAATTCCTGTCAAAAATAGATTATAGTCGTAACTATACTGTATTGATGTCCCAAGAGTGAGATAAAATTATGAATGCTGTGTTAAATGTACATTTTCTCTGATTTCTAACTAGATGTATTTAATAAAAATATTTCTTACGTAATTTAAGGATTTGGCCAAACATTAGAAGCACCAATAAGACAAAGTTAGAAATTAAATTTCTATAATGTATGTACTACTTTCAATTAGATTTAAATAAAAGTGTGATAAAATATTTTTATGAATACTTAGATTATTGTATAATAAAATATTTTTATGATTGTGATTTGAAATCATAATAAAGACATTACTGATCAAATACTATTAAGGTTTTGGCATCTTGAATACAGAATTAAAAGAGAAAGTTCATTCCACCCATATAATACATATATCTATATGTTATATACAAAATCATTTCATATATATTACACTTGATTGAGCCCCGGTATGCATTAGGATAAATGTATAATTTAGGTTCACATTTACGTACATATATAATAATAATACAAAAATCTAAATTTTCTTTGATTTTTTTTTTTTATAATTTAATTAGGTACATTTAAAACTATATGAAATCCGACTGCATAGAACTGTAAAACGCTATCCGCATCTGTTAGTGCCAGCACATGTCGATTGGTGTCCAAATAATTATACTGTTTCATTTCATTGAATTACATTTCGTATAAAATGTAATTCAATAATATATTTTACATTGACACGCTTTGTACAAATAATGGATACTTTTAAATATGGTACATATATATATATAGCAAATTTTAACAGGTTGTGTTAAGAATATGCGATGTCGGATTTATAAAAAAATAATCATAATATAATTCGTATAAAACTGCTATTTATACCAGTTAGAATATTTTTATTTACGGCTCTGATGATAACGAGATTGAAGAAAAAAATAATAGTATATATTTATTCTTTTTTATTTTGTACACTCTAATCTTCGAAACCGCTTATTTTAATGAAATTTTGTAAATGTGTATTGTTTGCTCGAAATTGAAAAATAGAATAAATTTTGCCTTGATATGAAAAAATAAGTACGGCGTTAGGGTGCAAAACTATATTGATCTATATAGTTTATATAGATCACTAGCAAGAATACGGATAACAAATCGATACGGCACTGGCCAGTGCGGTCTAGTCTTTACTTTTATATTCTTCACATATTATGGTTTTGTTACATAGCAGCATACATATTACGATATTAAACATTGTAATCCCAAACAGGAATGTCACAACGGTATTCCGATTAAAGCAATGTTATTATTTATTCATATTTCTGTATAAGGAGCTTAATAATTTACTATAGATAGATGTTTACCATTTCACTGATATTCTTTAAACTTATCTCTAATAATACAATTTTATTTGATAGTTCAACGAAACTGAATGGCAGCGCATGGGGGGGTAACATGGGCGAAACAGTATACTCTGGTATGTCCATGGTACTGCTTATGTCTATAGGCGACGGTTACCACTTTCCATTAGGTGGGCCGTCAGCTTGTTTCCCATTCTAAGTTCTAAATTCTTCTTTTTCTTTATTCATAAAAAAAACTATAATGGTATGGATAATCGAGAATTAAATGTAACAGTTCTGATGTAATTTTACAAAGAATTTCGTTTTTTGTTCTTAATCATTTGGCTGTAATATCAAATTTTAATTTTAATTTTAGAATCGATTCCATTGTATAATTTTATATGACTTTACCCAAATATTTCCAAAGTTGTAAGTATTGTTTTTAATGTTGATTAAAACATATTTGTGTTTTAATATTCAATTGGAATTAACCATGTATGTACCAGTAGTTTTAAGACACGTTGTTAATTTATCCAAAATTACGTTTGGTTAAATAATGATGTACTTATTGTTGTAGAAATGCTATTTTGATATAATTTCTTTTTTTTTTTGTGAATTTACCGGACGGCACGGTATTTTAAAATACATATCAATCAAATTTTTTTTCTATGTGAATTTATGAATTCATATTGTGTTTAATAGAATTTTATTTGATTTTTGATTAGCTTTTGTTAAAATATTTTACAATAGCAATTAAATATTTATCAATAACATATTAAATAACAACATATGATTAATTAAGTATAAATTGTTTTGTTAATATGTTTACTTAATTGTAAATTGTATTTCATGTAAAGTGCCTACATTCCAGGTGAAATTTTGTTATAGCTTTTTGGTGTTGTTGTTTTATGAATTTATAATAAATAGGTAAACTCGAATCTCTCTTTCATTAAAATTACAGCTAAAGCCTATTACGATTTATGAATCGAGTAATCGCAAAAACGGGAATGTATAATTATTTTCATATATGTATTAAGCAAATTTAAATAAATTCTATTTGAATATAAGTAGAAGAAAAAAGCATAGAAAAAAAAAAAACAAAATAAAGAAGGAACGTTATTATTATACAACAAAAAATAATATACATTTAATACGCCTCCGAAGTAAATGCTTTGATCCATTCCCACGTAATGCATTCACTTATAACAAATGTATACAAAAATACGATTTGATCCACATTAGGTAAAATGTATCGTATTTTTAGTAAATATTCTCTTAAATATTGTTGATTATTGCTCATATAATTTTGAACACACCTGATGAATGATTAAAACGTATTTTTATTTATACATTTCTATCTTACAAATGTGAAGTTAACAATGAGAAATAAGCTTCAATTTCTATCAGCAAACAAACTTAAAATATAATAAAAATAATATTATGTCAACATTATTAGTTGATCCCGATCTGTCTATTTGGAAACAGTTCAGAATAGAACAAATATTTTGATTTATATAATGCTAACTTATAAAATATCAATCACAACTTACTAGATAATAAGTATAGAACGGAAAATGTAGCTAAACCATACTTGTCTTTCTTCACATAACAACTAATTGAATATCACCGACATTACACCAGTATTTGTCATAAAAAAGGAAAATGACAATAAATAGGACTGCTTACAAATTGTAACTGAAATGACACACCCATTTAACGATTTATTTCTAAAATCATCTGTACACCTATTGTATTTGGAACTATCAGTTACATAAATTTTTACATACACACATACATTTTATAACAATCATACTATAATGCTATTAATTTTAACTAAAATCATATAAAAATAAACTATTACAAGAAAAATTGTAGATATCAGAAAAAAAAATTGATGAAAGAAGAGTCAGAAATATCAGTTAATGTATCCTCAATTTCAAGTTTTTATTGAATCAATTCAATTTTGAGCAAATTCTAGATGACTCCGGACTCAAAAGTGAAAGACATAATCATATTTCACATGATTATTCACTGTAAATATAAATATATATTTCCAAATTTATTAATTTATAAGTGAATAAATAGAATAGTTAATAAATATAGGTGAAAATGTTGTTTTTGTGTTCGCTCGGGATTTTAGATACTAAGATCTAAATTTTCCATATTTTTTACATACTGTGTATAAAAGAAGATATTTATTGACAGCAAAGTCCTCGAGTAGCAAGCTTTATTGAAAATGCTACCTGTAAACGCAATTTTGACCAATCGTCGAAACATTCTGTTACATTAACATAGGAAATCTTAAATAAAATAATAATTATAATTTGTTTATGCCAAAATACATACAGTTGCAAAATTTGTTTAAATATGTCTACAAAGAAAAAAGGGAATAAGTGTAGCAACCTTTATTTTTAAATACATAACCAAATTATCTTTTTTTCATATCAGACAGAGGTCATGAATTTAATTAAAAAAAAAAAAAAAAACTCGGCAATATGACAATGTAATAATGTTTCCTACTCTTTGTTACAGCTAGTTCTATTGTCATATACTTACTTGTCATCTTGAAGTATATGATAGTCCGAAATTTGGTATACTTTAATCATTACAATTAAGTACAAAATTACCCTGACCCCCAGGGTTACCTAATCTCAGCAGATATGACCAATAACGTAAGATACATATATCAAAGATGCGACGAGTGTTACAATGTAGTACATTTTGAGGTAATATGCAGTGCAATAACATATACTTTTATTCTAAAAATAGCTACACAAGATTTCACTATTTCTAAAGTATGTTCAACTTTGATCTATAAAATGCATAATTTACTTGATTCGAAATAAAAATGGCCATATCTAACACTGTGGCTTAAGTTATTTATTTTTTTGGAAGTGTAAATTCATGCTGTATATTACAAAAAATATGTGTTATGTACCCACAACATTCATTTTAGAAATAGATTTCAAAGAATCCTGACTAAATTAAACACTACAATATGAGTGTTGTAAATTTTTAATTCTAATCTCAGTTCCCAGCCCAATTATTAGGCTAAACATATGCTGAGACATATGATACAGAGCAACATAGTATAGAATTGGCAGTGCATGGTAATTGAGGCAGACGTCACAATGACATTTTAGAACACAGATAAATAAACTACATACATATAACATAATAGGCTGTTCAAAGTTTATGACAGTGGCAATTAAAAAAAAATTGCAGAAAATAATAAAAATTAATATTCAGATTTAAGTTCGAAATTATTGATTATTTATTAATAAAAACTTACGTATAATGAGATCTTAGAGAAAAAAATAAAGAGAATGAAGTATGTCATACAAATGTGCTCCGCCCTATGCTGTGGACAACTGGGTCTCCAGTATCTCAGGATATGTTCAGCCTTAATTACCACCATAACATTTTCATATAACTTGACCATGATGAACTGGTAATGTTAAGGCGAGGTCTACGCGTTCACATCGTTGACAAAGAGCACGTCACGGTCCTTGAGTCCAGCGTCAAGCAAGTTGGCGGTGCCGCGCGCCAGCACTCGTTTCGGGAAGTTTGTTGTTATCTCAAACTCTTCGGGAGCTTGAGGATGACTGAACACGAAGTCATATAGGTCCTTTAAAAAAATATTCTCTTATAAATATTAGGTCTTTTGTTATTAACTAAGACTCCAAAAGTGCCACAGACATACAATTTTTGAGATATCCTTAAGAATATTTATGTAGGTATATTTATAATTGTTATTTTAGTTGTGATGCTATCAGGTATACAATACATACTTCCTTTTTTTTTTGTTACTGAGTCAACACATCTAAAAGAAGTTTAAAAATTGCAAAAATATATAAACAACTAAATGGAGATATATCATTACTATTAGATAATTACTAATAATATTATTCAACAATACTTTACTGTTTATATTTTTCAACTTAACTGCAATAAATGCTTAACTAAAATACAATACATATATATTTCTCAAACTCAGGATATAGGTATAAACAATACATTCTATTATTCTTATCCATAAGGACAAGAATACAATATTGAATATTTTTTATCAGCGTTTATAGAGAGAGACACTATATATGTGTATATAATCTAGATCATATAGCAGGACCGACCTGAGTAGTGTGCGAGAGCGTGAACCGCCTGGTGAGGCGCTCGCCGCCAGGTAACCGGATGAGCAGTACCACGGTGCCCGCGCCCGCCGCCGGTTCCGCGGGCAGCCGCGCCGCCATCGCAGCACGGGCCTCTATCACCTACCATATCATATACACTATTAATATAGTAATGTAATAATGTATATCGAAGTTTATCGATGTGAGGGATAGCGACTTTTAGTATCTTGTGGGGAGTAGCTGCCCTATTAATAGTAATATCCTATCAGATCGACCTATATGCAGTCCCACCTTGAAACCATCAATGGTCAATTCCTAGTAAATTCGTCACAATGGACCAACTGACCTGCTTTCATCCTCACCTATCATCCCTCTGTGCCACCCCACCAGCAAATACCAATGGCAAAGGTGGGATCATAAGTCCATTTTTATCCCATGAAACATAGCTTACCAATCTGTGACAACATCATAATCTCAAAAACAATTGAAAAGTTTTCAATGTTTCCGACAGGTTATGCAATGTATATATAAGTAATAAATAAGTAAGACTACTAATATTTTATATTAACATTCAATCTCTTATTAAACTTCGTGGTTTACTTTATTTTACACACTATTTTAAAATTTTATCTACATTCATTGAATAATTTATTACACACTATAAAATATATGAATTAGTGTGATATGAGACCCAAGAGAGCATGTTTCACTACATGAGTTGCATTAATCACTGATGCAGTCATGCATGCCATACCGCAATTGATTTATACGTTGTTGTATAAATGTAATAATACAAAACCACACAGTATATTAGTAATCGCGACATTAAGATCCTTTTGTTCTTTCTTACCTCCTTATTAATAAAAAAAAATTCGCAACTAATTTTCATACAATAAAGACCTACAGAATTGGCAATTGAAAAGATTGTATATATATTAGTATTCTATATTAATATTATAAAAGTGAAAGTTAGTTTATTTGTTTATTCCTTTCTTGGCTGTTGGCGCTTTAACCATTCAACTGATTAGCATAAAATTTGGTATGCACATGACACACATAGATTTTTATTTCTTTCAAACATTATAATATTCTGGTCAGATGGACAAACTCACGGATGAAAAGCCCTCATAAGATCATATAATAAAGAAGGACTGACCTCCTGTTTGCGACGTTCCTCCATCTGCCGCCGCCGCAAGTCCTCATTCTCACGCTCCTGGCGAGCAGCGCGGTCGGCTGCGCGGCGCCGTTCTTTCTCTTGGTCGGCCGCGAGGGACTCCGCGTACGCCTCATCCTGAGCCGCTCGCAGTTGCGCCGTCACTTCGCGCTCCACACTAATAATAATTAGTAATTTTAGATGGAGAATAATGATCAGCAGTAATACTCTTATGTACCTGGATATATTATTAACCTTATAGGTTAACAAGATTTTTTATTCACATCAGGATCCTAATAGGATACACAAAACATGGAAACTAATAATTATCAATGACCACTTTTTTTACAGTAAGACGTAATTACATATTCCACTATCTTCACATAACAAACAAATAAATTAAGGGGTGTTAGATATCCCTCAAAATGAACTAGAAGAAACACATTCACCAAATAAAATGAAAAACTAAAGTATTAATACAATATCAGCATTTACCGATCAGCTCTAGCAGCTGCAAGATGTGGCTCATTGTCAGCGACTACATGACGTAATCGCTGCAACAACTGTGACGAAGAGCATGAACCTTCACTGCGTGCAACAACTGTCATGCGATGCTCACGAACGCATACCACACAAAGCAAGGGGTACCGCCGCCCGCCTACTGACTGTGCAACTCGCCATCCCTCCGCAGTATCCACAGAACACCCCCAGAATAGTGCATGGGTGTTGATGTATTGAATTACTTCTGGATCGGCTAAAGTAGATCTGTGAAAATGTCAAAATATAAACTTATTCCTATTTATTAGAAAATTTTTAGCCACAGATCTTACTAATATAATAAAATTGTAACTAGATGATATCTGTACATGGGTAATATTTAATAAAAAATTATTTTATAAATATATGAGACTGTAAATATCTATATATAAAGGGAATTTTATGATTTTACTATCTTCAGAATAAGTGCTTTACAATGTATAATTTTACCATACACTGTGGAATGCAGCTCACAAATTCCATGAAAGCATTGGTATGGGCAGTTTTATATTCTAACTTACACCATACTCACCCTGAACAAGATGTCTGGATAAAATCTAAACAATTATCAAAAATGAGATAGTAAGTTCATAAAATTCCATACATATATACATATTGCTTCTTGACCTTCTGACTACAATCAAACTGACTAATATCAAAGTATATATAGACATAGTTAAAAATGAATATATATTTAAAAAATAAGACTGTAAATGTTGTCATCACAATAATGCAAGTCTGAAAATACAAACTAAAACAGTGATAGGATGTGATAGCTATGGCTCCAAAGCACAGGTTACGAGATGAGACTACACAAATTGCACAAATCACAATTACTGTAAGTAATCTAAAATTGGTATACATAGTATTCAAATAAATAGTAATAATGTTTATTTGTATAATTATGAGCATGAGTAGCTATAATGATCTATGTTATATAAAAAATAAACAAACCTGCAAAAGTTTTGTGTTTCTGTAGCAGAATCTGAATGAAGATATACAATCAGGAATCTCAACTCATTCTTGGCATCATTGAGAGCTTGTGCATATGTGCCCTGATAGAACACTGGATGTGGGTTGTAACGGGCTGTATAGCTATTGATGAAACTCATCACATCACCTAATGGATCTGTCACTACTGTAAATGGTAATCACACATTACAATAAGTTTTTAAATAGGTACTTATGAAGTTAAATAGTGCTGTACTACACTGCTGTGCTGGTACTAAAATCAACAAAGTAGTTAAAAGAAGCCTGTTGCTTCACCTAGAATTGTGTTGAGATCTCACATGCTTCTTATAATGAAAGGATGAGTTTAGCAACTCATCCTTTCATTATAAGAAGCATAAATAATAAATAATTTTCCCTATTAAGTTAAACTTCAGACAGCCCCTCACTTGAAACTATCAAGAAATTTTTGGTGGATTCATCAGGAGGGGCAAGCTAAACTGACTGAATCCTTGCCCGTTATCTCTCACTAGTATCCTATCCACTTAAATGAATAGTGCAACAAACTATTCCATTTTCATGTATTAAATAAACCTTACAATGTCAGGTTAAGGTGGTTGTGATATATAGATAATGTATACAATAGAGCAGTAAATATAATTTGGTGTTGGATATTACTAGAGAAAAATAAAGTAACGATTTAAGTCACTTAAGGAATCAAGAAAATAATAGTATGGAAATGTTTATAAAAACAACCTAAGTTTATAAAATAGTTGCAGGGAGAAAATGCTTTAATATCATATCAAAGTATAGTAAAAAATAAACATTCATTCTTAAAAATGATAACAATAAAAACTTACATCTCCTCTCATCATTTCGTACAAAACTTAAGAGCAGATTTAAAACAGATGATATAGTGCTGTAGCACATTGATACAACTAAATTCACAACATAGCGTAATAGCCCACGCATGCCGCCAGGGCCCTCTGGAGGCTCATCTGTGAAAACCTGCTGGGCAATGTGATCATGAACCACAGGAGGAGCCCTCGCTTCTGTAGCAAATACCGACGGCCGCCCTTCCCTTATATTCAACTGCTCTTGTATTGCAACCTAAAAAGTCACATTAATATTTAAAAACAAGGAAAATATTTAGATCAACACATGGTCAATTAATGTACATGCATTGACCTAAAAAGAAATCGAATAAATTATAGAAGTATATTTACCTCTAAATCCCACTGATGCCTTTGTAACACATCTCTGCATATTGACATGTCTTCTATGCCAGTTAAATCTTGAAATTGAAGAATTTTATCTGTTTGTTCATGGGTTAAGCCCAGTGCATTATCTTCAAGGTCCATGACTCTAAATATACAGTTCGACTATTATTAAATAAGTAAACTCACTACGAAAAATCGCGTAATTTAAATTAGACTACATCAATATTAATATATAGACATATTAAACAAAAACAATCATACTAAACAATAGTGAAAATTAAAATATTTTGCTCGAGTGCTTAATCATGAACTATAAAATGACATGTCATTTGATTTTGTTTAATGTCATGTCATCGGTTCTATTCTATCTGAGGTTCTATCGTTCACTTTTCTTTATAGTATCATCAACGGTCAACTATTGAAGATGAACACGTGTGTTTTGATAAAAAGATAGAGTTAAAAAAAACAACACGTAAAATTTATTGTACATATCTATAGTATACATATCGATTAAAATTATTTACACTCAACACTAATATTTAGTAATTTATCAATACTAATTACTATTATTTTTAATTTATTTATAGAGAAAATATCAATCTTCTAAAGTCAAAATAATATCAGCTCCATAATGTCTATATTTAAAAAAATACCCAAGGTACTCTAAGCCCATTTTATTTTGGTTCAAAAATTTCTACAAAAATTCTAATTTCTCTGAAATTTTGAAACAAGATTGCAAAAAAAGTGCCCCATCCGGCTATATTAGCCAAGATACAAAGATTTTGTTATTCTTGTCCTTAGCCTTATGGGCTCAAGTCGCCGACAAAAGTGCTAGTGTTACCAGACACGTATAATTTTATTCATTGAGTAGATAAAAACTATAGAGTACTGTACTCCCTGTAATAACTATAGCTACAGTTTAGATTTCAAGTATAATAGTTAATTTTATTTATTCTCTATCAGAATATATATCAGAAAAATGCAAAATAATTTACCACCCATTTTAGTAATTCAATTTTTACAAAATCCTGATAGACAATACCATTTGAATATTTGCAGAATTGGGGCTACTCAGAATAGGTATTATTTTTATTAATATTGTAAATGTTTTTGGTTAAGGTACTAAAAGGTAACCTTTCGAAAAACGCAACCAATTATCATGAAAATTGATATATTTGAACTATTTTGTTGTTTGAAGAAGGATATATGTTACTATTTATTCCAATCAATCAACATATCTATCCTACCGACGAGGTCGTGATTAAAAGGTAATTAATGAGTGCAACAATGAAGGTATTCAAATAAAGAATTAATAAATTTTTAAAATATTGTAGTGTATATCAATTAATAAATGATAAAGCAAGTAATTTCTTGATTTAGGTATAGTAAGGAAGTATTATAATGCCATTTTCATATTTATGTCCATTTTCATTTGATTGGTTTTATTTCTTTTTTTCTTTCTTACTCGACGTAGGTTGAGGCGGTGGAGCCGAAGGTGGTGGTGTTGGCAATACTTTTTGAGCTGGTGGCTTTTCTTCTACTACTGGTTCAGGAGGTATAGATGGATCTTCGTCAGGATTTTCATATAAATATTCTGTCTGCGAATTATTTAAAATAAGTATTTGAATCAATTCAAATGTATGATTAATTAATAACACCTATTTACACCTCATATTCAAATATATATATGTCCAATTACGGTTGCCAAGCGTGGCAACTACTGGCATAACTCCATTTATGGGGAAAACTTGTGTTTTTTTTTTACAACACGGAGCAAACGAGCATGCGACTCACCTGATGGTAAGTGACTACCGCCGCCCATGATCACCCACAACACCAGCGACATTGCAGGTGTGCTGCCGGCCTTTTAAAAAAGAATATACTCTTTTCTTGAAGGTTATGTTGTCGTATCAGTTCGGAAATACTGCTGCTGGAAGTTGATTCCAAAGAGTGGTTGTGCGTGGAAGAAAGTGCCTTGAAAAACGCATGATGGAAGACCGCCACTCGTCCAGATGATTGGGATGAAACTCTAGTTTGTGGCGGGTTCTACGGTGGTGAAAATCAGCAGCAGGTATCAATCCGAACAATTCCTCAGAACACTCCCCATGATAAATTCGGTAGAAGATGCACAGATTTGCAACATCTCTGCGCAGTTTCAGTGGGTCAAGTCGGACAGTAAGGCGTTGACTATCGATAATTCGAGCCGCCCGACTTTGAATGCGGTCTAACGGAAGGAGTTAGTACTGTGGCGCTCCTGCCCACAGGTAAGAACAGTATTCCATATGCGGCCTGTCTTGGGCTTTATATAATTTCAGGCGGTGTTCGGGCATGAAATACCGTCTCACCCTATTGAGCACTCCTAACTTTTTGGAAGCTATCTTAGCCTTCTCCTCCAGATGACCGCAAAACTGGACGTCGCAAGATATATCAACGCCCAGAATTCCTAGACTCGATTTTTTATCAAAGGAAGTGCACTGAAAGTGAGGAGATACGACAGACGGCGTCTTTTTTGCGGTAAACGCGCAGACTTGTGTCTTTTTAGGGTTAAATTGGACAGGATTTTGTTCACCTCAGATCGAAACTTGATGGAGTGAAGTTTCGATTTCAGACACAAGTCTATTCCGACACTCATCGGTATGTGCCCGCGAGATCTTTGCATGACCGGTATATAATGCATCTCCTGTACTGTCGTCTGCATATCAATGAATATTACTGGTCTGTAACATATCATCGATATGCAGAAGAAACAGAATCGGAGATAGTACACAGCCTTGCGGGACACCAGCATTCAATGGTTTTAAATCAGAGCATGCTTCGTCGACTACGACCTTAATGATACGTTCCTTGAGAAAACTGGCAACCCAAATGCACAGTCTCGCAGGCAACACAAATGAAGGTAGCTTTAAAAGCAGCGCTCTGTGACATAGGCTTTCGCAATATCCAGACTAACAGCTAAGGGCTCTCCCTTACTCTCGATTGCCACTGCCCATCGATGTGTTAATTAAGCTAAAAGATCACCGGCCGAACGGTGTTCAGCAGTAAGTAGTTAACAGTTGATATGATATGATTCAAGTTATAGACAAATTAGTATAACAAAAACGTTTAACTAGTGCATATATCTAGTGACGACACGATACTGAGTCATGTTCCTAGGTATACTAGATATAGCTGATCATATAAGAAAACTCTAGTTACTTGGCAAGCTGTAAAGAGGTCTGTGCATAAAATTTTATTGCGAGATGAAATTTGTAATGAGTGATCGAATAGGCCAAAAAATTTTCAGACTGTGTCAATAGGCTAGCCACATAATTTGAAAGTTAAGAAAATGGCTGTTCAAATTTTTTGGATTAGAAATGTAGATTTTTTTGGACATTTTTAATCTATAATAAGGTACACGTAATAAAAATACACATACTTTTATGTTATTCATTTCAGGAGCAACGCTAAATAAGCTTTCTATGAAGTCTTCATAAAACACATTCCCATCACCTCGCACATTTGCATCACGCAATAATTCTAAAGTTTCAGCTTCATTGAATATATCTCCATAAGTAGTAACAATAGTGCGAATTTCATCGATTTCTAGAAAATTTCGTTTTTCTGTGTCAAATATCTAAAACAAAATACAGTGTTTGTAGAACAGTACATATATAAAGCACTTTCATAACAGGTGCTGTCATATATGTACGATACAAGAGTCATATTATTTTCCACCTACAAGCATGTCATGGTAGCTTACATGCACGTGGAGCATGCATATACGTTGTTAAATTTTCAACTGTCATACTTTACTAGTACCCCACAAGAGTATACTGATAGCGCAGGCGGAGCGGGGCTACAATTTTATTTTCACCTACTAAAACAAGTATATTTATTCATTGAATAAAATGTACTAACGTCCTAAAAATACCTAAATTAAACTCTTAGATTATATAGATAGTGTCTCTATATAAATGCTTATTAATCTGCTTTCCTAATTATTTACTTATATGCTTCTTTAATATTAACTATTGCAATTTAGGTGTTCATTGAATTTTAATTTTTACTAAAACTTTACTTACATGACTAATATTTGGTAATTTTATACAAATTTTAATTGGCAAAAGAAGACATTTTAACGATTGGGTAGATTCGGCTATGTTCGTGTCTGAAATAAGTAGTCGAATAAATAAAATTAATAATCCAATGACTTGAAAATAATTCCAATAATCAGAATGATTTGCTCAGTCGAATAATTGGTAGTTGGATTAGTAAATTCGCATATCGCTATCAGTCAGACATCAAACTGACACTTGATACCCAATGCTCTATTTATATATTCTAATTAAACTATAAGTAATATGATTAACTATCATTTTATCTAATTAATCTGTATATTTACTTAGGTGTACCTTAAAAGCAAGACCTAACTCATGTTTCAAATTAGTTTCTACTATCCATTTATCTAATATGTATATAAATTGCTCTTTTGTTAACATTCTGGTCACACCAGCCTTAAGTTTTTCTGCTTCATTCATTATTTCAGCATAACTCGGGTAATGAAAACTCCTTCTATGAAACCTGCGAAAATAAATTATAATAACGAAATAAATATAAGCTATGTTTATTTAATTATTTGACATAATTAATTAAGAGATACTATACTTTCTTAGTTTTAAAAAATCTATTAATTGCTCAATGGTTATTACATTTATGGGGTCTCCATCTTTGATTACAAGCAGTGGTTTTGAGTTCGCATCAAACCATTCCACTATTTCATTAATTTGCTCTTCTATAAATTTTGGCGTAATATTTTGTAAAGGATTAAAAACATCAAATATAGCCATTACAAAATTTTGGTGAAAAAAATATGTAAATAATGTCACTCTTATAGTAATGTCTGTAATAGATATATACGCAACTAACCGAACTGAAATTTATAAACGTCACAATTTTTTTTATTGTATTTGCTTATATTTCTTTAGTTAAATTTGGCATTCTAAAAAAGAGGAACGAACAGATTTTGTCATTTTGGTACCAGAACTATTTATTTGTATTTCGCCCATAGGTCAAGCGTAATACCTGTGGTCCTAAAATTGCTTGACAATTAAGCCGTTAACGTTTATTTTTAACATATTTTTTTATTAATAAAAAGTTATTAGCGAATGACCATCAGTACCACCTCTGTAAAGTTATTAAGGAACTGAAGTTAGGTACTATTATAAATTAGATTGTTGTATGTCAACTTCGTTATTATTTGTTAATTTTCAGAAGCAATTGAAGAATTTTAGAATGTTTCCAAATGATTATTTGAAAAGTGCCCTGTCTATGAACTAAAATGTTAATCATATATATTATACGTTTCATATATATTATTAAAAACTATGTACTTACATATTGTTTAGAAATTTTTCTAATAGTTTTTTTGATATGAATTCAAATTTTCGGTGACAGCTTAATATATTATGCTATGTATATATAAATATTTATGCTATGAATTGACAAAAGTAGCAACTAATGGTGTATTTTTCGTCCTTTTTTACTAATTATATTTGCATAAGAAGGAAGGAGGCAACCATATGATTCACGATTTTTATTTTATCATTCCTTCTATGTAATTTATTGTACTTAGATTGTTATGCTTGATAGAAAAAGACTGTGCCATTCATTTTACTATAGGAGCGAGAAATAAAAAAACTCATACTTGATCTATAACTACTTAGTTTCTTTGATTTCTCATAATAACGTTAAACTATAACTATCACAAAATTTCTTACCGTTCCTTATTCATATCCCGTCTCGTTTTCTGCTTGTTACTGACATAATGGTCAACCTCAGCCCTTTGCCATAAAAAAATAACTTTGTGTGTGTTACCCTTAACAGGTACTATCTTTATTCTATGTTTTTGAATAGCCATCCATGACATTGACAAATGACAGTGACAACCGCTGTTACCGAGGATATAGTTTCCCGAATCTATGCTTATGTCTAAAGTTTGTTTTGTTTTGTACTACCAATGTTTTTTAAATTTCATTACAATATTTTATTCATTATTAAACGCGATTTTTTTTTACACGAAAGGGATATCAATAACTGTTAATTAAAATTTATATGTATTTAATATAATTTAAAATAACGGTTGACATGTATAACTAAGTAGAATTAAAAAGTTTCTGTGATTATCTGCTAGTTTAATAATTTATAAAAATATCCTTTAGTAACTGGATGTAACTTTTTACATTGTAGAACATGTTCGAATCCGATGACTTTGATCAGGTTAGTAAACTTGCTCTTTGATTATATCAAAAGCTGGTGTTACTTTCTGTTGTCCTAATGTATTGACATTTTGAGATTTAAGAAAAAAAGAAAAGGTATTATTAATCTTAGCTATGAATTATCATATTGAATAAAGAAAACCGTAATATATTTTTTACAGATATTATCTCAATTTGATATAGATGATATTCAAAGGGATGATTCTGTAGTAAAATCTGAGTCATTAATAAAAAGTATAGCTTCTAATATTGAAGTTACACATAATGCTAAAGTAGTTTCAAAAAACTATCCAGAAAAACAGAAAGAAAGTGTTGAATTAATTTCTGACACAAGCATAAATGATAATATTAAAGAAAATCTTAGTTTGATGTCACATAAACATTCAAAACGGAAAATTATTGATTCACATTTTGATTATAAAACAAAGAGAAAATTTCCTGGTCCAGCTGGTATGTTAACAGGTAGTCTTCAAGTGGACAAGGATGAATCTGTGTCTCATATAGAACTCCTCTCGCAGGTCAGTCATTTATTAAATGTAAATAAGAATATATTTTTTATTAATTTTCCCAAAGATTTCTTCAAAAAATTCCCAAGGAGTTCTTTAACAAATATTTATGTGTCTCAAATTTCATTAGTAACTCTTTATGCTATTACCAGTAATAGTATAAAAAGTATAGGTAGTAACTTTAATTGATAGTATTATTTTATAGGATATAGATTATTCACAGAACAACATTAAGAAGGAGGTATTTGAATCACCACTATGGCTTAGACTTGTAGAAGATATTAGAAAGTGGAATCTGCATGATGTGGACCCAATAATAACTATAAAACAACAAGCTGTTGCTGGTAACCTTCGACGGAGGAAAGCACAAACAGTTACCGCATTTGTAGAGTGTGTAGATAGATCTGTGATAGATCCACTTATAATATTGAGAGATACAACAGGTAATATTTATAACCTTAGTGTACAATTGCTTAGCTTTTTATATGAGGACGATATTAGTGTTTTCTTTCTCTTTTAATACTTTAGGAATGAAATGGAGTTTTTTATAGCAGAGTAGCAAATAGGCAAGTAGGTATAATATTTGTTTTACCTTATTGCAGTCAAAGTAGTTACATAATAATAAATTTATACTATCTACTTACTGTCTTATCTACTTGCTAATGTCATAGGTGAAGTATTTAAATCTTGTGTAAACAAATAGGGTTGAAGCTCTTTATTTTTGTGACTGTTATGTCTCAGAATCTATAATTCCTCTCAAAATAGTATAAATTATTACATTTGCAGGTAACATCAAATGTACTCTTCACAGAGATGCATGGTCTACTTTCTCTCCTTATATTGTCTCAGAACATTGTGCACTCGTGTTATGGAAACCTACAGTGCTCACAACAGGAAGTGCTTTCAAGAAACATTATTTAAATATCACATTGAGTAATATTTATGCCATATTTAGTTCAGCAATTCTACAGAATGATGATGAAAAATCACTTCCAGATGGATTTGTTAAAGTCTATGAAGACCTATTTACTATAATTAAGATTGATAAAACTCCTCAAAATTTAGGTAAGTTTTGTTATATTAAAAATCTATTTAGAAATTACCCGTATCAGAAAATTAATGCAACTAGATCTGCAATATTTTAATCAAGTAATCAATTAATTTTTAATGACACCACATCCTTACAGGAATATTTTAAAAAATATAACTAGTCCATATAATTTAAAAGATTATAGTTTCCAACTATTTATCTCTGTAATTGTTTAAGAGTTTAGGAAGTTTCTAAATATGAAATTCTATTTTAATAAATACACAATATGATGGACATCACAAAATTCTATTGTTGATACTGCATTACCTCCTTTGAGAACTAGTGATGACTAAAGTTTCTTTTGTTACATATTACACTGACTGTGTTACCATTTACTAATACATTGCATGAACTTATACTGAAAAAAATGTTCTGTTATTTTAAATTATTGATGATTATTTGCTTATATTTAATTCATCAGAAAGGTTCCTAAGTGGCACTCCTGTATACCTATAAACATTGGGTTAAGTGATCTTGCTTTAAACAGTGTTAATGTTAAATCATCATTTCGGTTATTATCCATCCATTGCTGTACATAGACCTTCCCCAGACTACCTTCTTCTGGACTGGATCTTCACCTGGACTTCCATAGACCAGCCAATGGGCTGGTCACGTAGTAGGAAGTACCCTTACTATACATACACTTCAACATTTCAATATACCTTTGTTAATCTGGCACCACTGGAGGAATTATAGTACAACCTATGTCTCGACTGAATCAAAGGCTTTTTCATAGTCTATAGATGACGGTTACCACTTTTAATCAGGTGGGCTATCAACTTGTTTGCCAAGTTAAGTTGCCAAAAAGCCCACAAATATCAGACATAGTAGCAGATTATACTTTTCGGTTTTCTGTGCAATCTGCCGTAGCGTATGTATGTGGTCTATGGTGCTAAATCCCTTTCGGTAGCCAGCTTGTTTGGGTGGCTGGAAGTCATCGAGTTTACCCATAAGACTTAGGTCAGGACTCTCGAAAACAGTACATAGACGCGATTTAGAAGGGATATCGGTTTATAGTTCCTCAATAGGATATTGTCACCTTTCTTAAAGAACAGAACTGTCGCACGATTGCTTCACGCCTCAGGCGTAACACCGTTATCGATGACGAAATTAAATAGCGTCTGAAGGACTACAATACCCGGTTTTCCACCCGCTCTCAGAAGCTCTGTTGTAATTTCGTCCTCCCCCAGTTCCTTGCCGTTTTTAAGCTGTTTGAGAGCTATTTCAATCTCCTGCAAACTGACGTCCGAGATATCATCGGTATAGTGTCGGGTGACTAGCTCTTTGGTCGTTATTCGCATTAGTATGTGGTGTTAACGACGTTGTATGCAACTGTCTATAGAACTTCTCAATCTCATTCAAAATCTTAGATGTGGCGGATATTATATTACCGGTGTCGATCTTCAACTTTGTCAGTTAGCTTCGCCCAATAGCCAAATCTCTGGCGAACACTAGAGTTTTGATTCCGTTCTATTGCCCTTTCAATGCATACAGTATTAAACTGGCGTATGTCACGCCGAATACACTTAGAGATTTGCTTATTAAGCTGCCTATATACAGACGTAGACATTGAAGACTGGGACTTTGGTTCATGTCAAACATGTGTAGAAATTAATTATGATAAGTTGAGACACCTCATAGTTTTTATGTTTTCCATGAAAAATGTACTTATGTCATGTATTATGTCCTTTTCTTGATGTGTAATATACATACATCAAAGTTAAAGGATTTAGTAAGTAATGCAGTTTATTTTTTTGTTTCAGACGCTAATTTTATTTCTAAATCTGGTACAACAACTAATGATGATTTATTTGATGGTTTAGACAGTGTATTTTTAGATGAAATATTTTAAAATATTTCTAAAGATGTGATTGAACATTGCCAAGGTTAATTAAAAATTATAAGTATTACAACTATCAAGATTGTTTTATTAAATGATATTATTGTTAAATAGTGGGCTTAATTTATTATTGCATAATATTAAATAAATAGACATCCCCTCTAGACAAGTGGTAAAGGAATGCATCGATATTAATATTAAATTCCTATATGTAAGTTGGTCAATGTTTCAACATTAACTGTCTGACCACAAAAAAGTTAAACTTGAACAGTTGTTCAATAATGATATTTAGACGTCTTACTACAAAAGTGACTAATATTAACAAATATTGTTACACTAACTAAATTTTCTTCATTTTTTTAGATTTGTTAAACACTTGTGATAGGAAGTATATTTAAAATTATATTTTATATTATTTCTGTAGTAAGTTCACATTTGTTTTTATTTAATTCTCAAAGTAGCTCAGGAATATAAGACAAAAACGCTATAGTAAAAACTGTTAAATTTGTATATAAATCTACTACAATTTTATTATTTATAAAAAGAAGCAAAAGATTTTTGTAAGGAAAAAGGGGTAAAAGTAATAAAGCATGAAGACTATACAGTAATGTAATTTATTTATATCACTTGTATATGCTTTGTAACTATATGTTTGGACAAAGTAGATGAATGGAAATATGTGCATGGGCACATTTTACACTTATAGATTCCGTTAATTTGACTTTCTGTTTCATTTTCTTGGCTTTGGTTGTCTATTTGATTCTTTGGGGGATGTGCCTTAATGTGGTTTTTGCAGAAACTCAATCTTTTGAATCGGGCCTAAAATTATAAACATTTTTCATATTATTAATCAGTTTTATGCAAAAGGTATATATTAAAATAAGGCCTACGTTTATAGTCTAATAATATATTGTCTCTTGTTTTAAAAAGGTTTTTAAATAGAGCGACTCATTCGCATCTTGAATTAATAATATATAAGAGATATTTATAAATTTTTAAGAAATTACAGAATTAAGGATTATTTTACATTATCTACAATCTATTAATGCACCTTAATATTAGTAAAGTTTTATATATTTATCTACTTTCATGCCAAATATCTTGCAGGGTAGGCAGAGATAACTAGAGATGATAAACGTGTATCTTTACACCATCTCATGCATGCGCGCCGATTCCGGAGAGTCCTTCCTCATATATAACACGGTCTATTTAATCATAAAAGTATAGTCTAAGTATCCTACATCTACACTACATCTATCTATTTTCCCTTTACATAATTGTTTTGTCCAACTTTTATCTAACATTCATTCCATATGCTTGTTCCAAGCTCCATTCCATAGTATGTCCTTTGTCATTTTTATACAGACACTTTAATATCATCTTATATGTACATATGAGTATAAGTTTAATTAGATTTAAAATGCACATACATTACACTGCATGCAGCAGTAGATTTTTTCTTTACCATTTTCTACATAATACTCATCATTTGTCAATTTTATATTTTCGACGTCTACTGAAGTAGGTCCCACGTCATTATTAGTGCAGTGAATCTGAAATGAAATATGTAGTTAAAAATTAATTAATTGGATAATAGGTTATTAATTTAATAATGAAGATTACGTATATGTTTGTATATATCTATCTCTAATCTAAATCTTAGAATATGATTTTGTTGTTATTTCATATTGAAATTTATATTTTAAGATACTTAATTTAGAAAATAAACTACACTGATAGGCTTATTAAATAGATACCAACCTTTTGATGGTCCTTCAGTCCTTGTTCAGACTTGTATAGAGCAGCACATGCAGCACAAGCAAATATTTTGTTTGTTTTATGGGTTTTTACATTAAAATTTTGTGGCAAGTCTGAAATATAAGCCAATGACATGAGTTTTTAGTTCTCATTAGTTTCAGTGTTTGTTTCACTTAAGATTCGCGAATTTATACAAAAAAGATTTATCAGGTAATCAGTCAACATTTTAGATAACAAAGTTTGTATAAAAAATGTACCTATAATGCATTTGTGTACAATGAATATCATTCTTGTACAAGTACACTTATGGCTAGAGTCCACGAGTTGGAATGAGACATCAGACGTCGCTATCTTATTCTATCTCATGGACTCTTATCACTAGCGAAAAGATTCCATCAATGGATTCGTTTGCAACTTGTCTATGGGGCCTGATCCGATACTGGGCTACGTTTATCGTTTTGTGTAACGCAGATAGAAAAGGAATGCTTTGCAGATTGAAATCTGTTCAAGGATAAGAAATTTCCCTTTATTTACTAAGGTAAGAGTTGTTACTAAATACTTACTTATTTTAACAACTGAAACGGCAGTTTTCACAATATTAGATTCTGCGCGTTTTTGTTTAGTTTCCAGAACATGTATATGTAGCACCTCAGTGTCTGTAGTCACAGTATCAGTATTGTTTGAACCAGATTGAACTGAAAGACAACAAAGATAATTTTTTGTAACTGGATTTTTCTAGAAAATGTCTTTTCAAAATTTTACTATTATTATTAAAACTGATTACTTTTTGTTCTTTTGCGAAAGAAATTCTTAGTTAAAATTTTAATAAATAACTTAATAATAATAGACCACTTACCATACCTATCCTTTTTATATCGAAATTATAACTATCGTATTCTAACATTTTTTTATTTAATCTATTTATTTCTGAGTAAGTGTTTATTCCGATGCTTAGCTAATAGAAATCTAATTCTTTTGTAATAATGCGTTGTTTAAGTAATATTGAAGTGACTATTTAAATACGTAATTTAACGACTTACAACATAACCTTGGGCAAACACATCCAGAAGTTTGTGTACCTATTTGGAACATAAACTTGTTTTGTTAGGTACATATTATTTGTCACGTATTTAAAAAAGTGTCAAGTATTTAAAAATCTGATATAAGTGTATTAAGAATTGTTTAAGTTAATAAACAGAATCAAATGAGAATTACCTGCATGTATGTGTTTTAGTAACATATCTGGAATATGGACAAATCGCCATTGATTATTTATTAATCTTATTTGGCCGGTAACTAAGGTGGGCTTGGATTTACCAATAATGTTTCCTTGCAAGTCTTCCTTTTGTTTTACCTATAAAAAAAAAAATATGTTTGAAAAGTAATTCATTTTGTAACGAAGCAAAATCATTACTACCGACGGTATTAGTGTGTTGCCCTCTGGTGTCATTCTTATGAAAAGAGGATAGTTTTAAAATTCACAAGATAATGGATTTTAAAGTTTATAAATAATAGACTTCAATGTATGTTACCTTTGTGACACATAATTTGGCACTCAGAATAGAAGTTTTAAATGCAGGCATTTCAATAAGCTGTGTTATTAATAATTCTGTTGCTTCAAAATCTTTAGCGTTTAGTGGTTTTTCATTACTGCCTGTTAATAGTGACTGCTCTAAAATGCTGGTAAATTCCATTTCATCTAGGCCAACACTCTCTGCAAAATTTTCAAAATTTCAATAAGTTAAAGATTGCACTAATAAAATCTAAGCAATAAAAATGAACAGTGTAATCTTAATGTATTTTAAGTAAGATTAGTAACTTTTTATGACAATTGTATTTTTTAAGAGGTTTTATATATAGATTATTTATATTTATGCAAACTAGAATGGTAAACAAGCTGACAGCCCACCTGATGGAAAGTGATTACTGCCGCCTATCCACATACCATGGACATAACAGAGTATCCTTTTTTTGCCCATGATACCCTTCATGTGTTGCCATTTCTAAAGACTAAGGTACTATGTCTCTAGACCTGTATCTCTGTGTGTTATGTGTACATAATTAAGTGTCAGATTATGCTTTGAATTTGCCCAAAAAATATTTAAATTTTATATAAAAAAAATTCTTTCCAAAATAGCTTATTACACAGATAAATACATTTATAGGAAAATAAGCTATTGATTTCTGTTTGTAATGCAAAAACACTACAATTGCCATACAACATAACTGTGACATGGTTTTTTAATAGGTGATAATGGAATGGTAACCCTGCTGCGTTATCGATATACGCTGGCGGGGCACCATCGCCCCATGGATAATCACACTATAGTTTTTGATGTGTGCTGATGTACTAGTGATTACTTACTTGCAGATTGTTGTGATGATTCTTCACATGAATCTTTGGAACGAGTAGGTGCTATCACATCATTGGTATCATTGTCGTCGCTATTGATAACTTCATTACCGCCAATTTTCTTTTTCTTTACTTTTGCAACTAACTTTTTGCCATTAACTGTCTTTCCTAAAACTATTTTATTTGGAAAATCTGAAATTATAATAATATCCGTATATTAATTTTAATTCTTTTTTAAAATTTATTTTATACTGGCCATTTAATATCTATTATGAAAAACGCTGAAAATAAAAAGTTTGGTTAAGGGTATAATAAATTCTGTCAGCTTTTTAAATATAGCAATGAAGGTACACAATACGACAGCATAAATTACCTTTGAATGATAACTTAGTTTTAATCCTTAATACATTGTTATCTTGATTAGTTAAATCACTTGTATCATTGTTCATCACAAATATTTTTACATTTTCTGAATTCTCTTGTTCATTTTTCCCAACCTTTATTTTTTCTTTATTTTCTGTAGCACTTGTGACACTAGGTAATATCTGATTATAATGCTTACTTTGAATTTGTTGTGAAGTACTGCACTCTGTAAAATTCTATTTTCTATTAGTCTAAATTCTTAGTAAGAATGTGGATTAAACATTCTTTTTTATTTTGTCTATAACTTCTTTCTTAACGCAAGTATAGATATATGTAGTTGGTATACTACTAGTTGTTATAAGACCATCATTCCTTACAACAGCTCTTACTAAACCTATTTTTAAAACTGAGTGTTATCCTGATATTGTTCATATAAGAAGATTGTACCCTTGTAAACAAAGATGGGTATGGTATGTTTGTGTTTCAAATAGTTTCAATATCACAATATTGGTAGAATAATAATTTGTTATTTGTACATATGCATTTTACCTTCTTTATCGGTAATTACGAAAGGTAAGTTCTGGACATCATCGTCATCACACCTGATTACATATTCTACTGTATCTTGTTGGACAGGAAAATCATGGGGAGTCTTATCATATTTGTTTGTATTTTTCATTTTCACAGAGCTGAAAAACATTTTTAATGTTTAATTTTAATAATATCATTAATATTTAATATAAACCGTTAACAAGCTACATTTTTTTTTTTTTAAAGAATATATCTAGTGACAGTTCAGTCAGTAGAACATGTTGATCCATTAGTTTTTTAAAAGTAGTATCTCATAAGTTACAATCTTGGTGTTATTTAGTTGGAAAATGTGTATAGATAACTGCTTATATTCGAAAGCTGGACTGAGTAAAAGGAAACTAAGGTGTCTGAAGTAAAAGTTTATAAAGATAGAAAATACTAATGAAACGAAGTTGTGAGACATAAAATTCAATAACTTGTTTGTGTTACACAATACTGATGTTTCGTAATATTAGGTTAAGGACTTATCATTTTGTTTTTAAAATAAAGTTATGATACAGGTTTCCGATTTTAGGCTTGTATTTTTAAACTTACCTACATTCCTTTTTTAAATCATAACTTTCGTTATCAGTTTTCAATTTTTCAATTAATTCTGTAAAAAAATGTATATTTACAAATGTATTACAAAAATATTCAAATGTCACAAATGCATTAAGGTAATTCTATTAAGGATATTTTAAAACTGATTTAGCATAATATTTAAATGTCTGATACTAAAAGTATAAAATACACAAATTGGGAGAATAAGAGAAAAATATATTTTAAAAAGACATAAAAAATAATAATAATTAATGAAAAAGTGCATACTTTCATCAGTTGATATGTCACGAAGTCCTCCCATTGTATCAAGCATAAATATTTTGTCACTGTTTTCTAGTAAAATCCAGCCCTTTTTTTCTAATTGTGAATACTGTTCATCATTAAGTGTAATCTGTAAAATTGGTATTGGATTTAAATAATTGATATTTAAAAATTGTGTATATACTGTGTTTCAGAATTGTTATTTCATCAATATTATATTTAATTGAAGTTACATGTTTTATTTACATTATTATGTTAAATAAGTGAAATATTACCTCTGTGTAATAATTATTGATATCCTTATTGATATTTGTATCCACATCAATATCCATTTGTGTATTGTTTGGTTTGTATTCCTCATCTGATATATCTTGATCCATCTGAATGAATAAAATATGTTTTTTATACCTGCATAATCAGTAATAGCCACAATGGCAAACACCAGAAAGAGGTGACTAGGTTGATATGATATGATGAATCATTAATGCAAGTGCAATATGTTCTATGAGCATATTGCACTTGCATTAAAGTCTAATAATACAAAAAGTTGTAAAACATTTTGTGATATTAGGAAAAAAGATCATGTTGCATCTTTTGTTTTAGAAAAAAAACATTCAAATCCTAACTTACTTTACTGGGATACTTGTTGAGCAACATGTTGGTAGTTGGTAAAGATAATTATCAAAATTCCATACTATATCGTGTACTACTATGACATAATATGCAGATTGGTTTAGCAAAAGAATCTATTCCAATACAGAATTAGTTACTTAAAGAATTATACAGAAGAAATAACATGTGCATGTTTTTATTAAAATTTTAAAATTATCCAACATGCATATGATTTAAATTGTAATAATAATGATAATATTAAGCGATTTTAAAATGCATGTCTAAATGCAATTAACAACATTATATAAAAAATTTACAAAAGATTAGAATTTGTTTTATTCAATATATAATTCTATGAATACTGTATATTTTACATTTAGACTTATACACTATATCTATATCCTAAACATAAATTAAAGTGATATTAGGGATTGTAAAATGATAATTTACTCACATGATTATTAGCTGTATCATTAGTAATTGATTCAGATGGAAGTAAGAAATTATTGGCATATAAATTGTTTGGCCGGGGAGGTATTATCAATTGATCTGAAAAAAATCATAAATGTATATTATTATTTAATTAAAAAAAATATTTTAATTATATACAATGCAATTTATTCATATAAATATATTATATGGAAACATAATTTTTATGATACTTAAAATATCAAACAATAGATGGCCCACTTGATGAAGAGTACAACTTTTCATCAGGTGAGTTGTCACCTATAGACATGACATAGATATTTTACAACTAAAATACTCTAATAATAAATATTTTGCGTTTTATACCAGTTTAATAAAATTTTATAGGAAATGATTTAACAACAGACTTACACACTATAAAACATTGCTTTATTCAATTGACATTTCAATACTATTTTATTAATGGGTGATAATGGAATGGTAACTCTGTCTACACTATCAGTATATGATGGCAGAGCACTAGTGAGAGTTGACATATATGAATGATAGCTGGTCAGTTAGCCCATATTGACGAATTCAACTAGAATTAACCATGATGGTTTTTATCAGATTATAGAGTAAGATTTTGAAGTGCCAAAGTTGTTACCTACCAGACAGGGGGGAAAGAGATTAAAGAGAGTAATGAGGTCAAATAGCTCCATTACTAGCAATATACCCTGTCAAATCGACCACCATGTGGTTCCTGGAAACCATAGTGGTTAATTCTAGTTAAATTCGTCAGGATGGGCTAACTGACCTGCCTTTTCATCCTCACCTATCATTTCACATTGGTGCTCCGCCAGTGTATACCGATAGCGCAGGCAGGGTTACTATACCATTACTATCACTCATTAAAACAAAAACTTACCAGACACAGATATAAGTTCAGAGGAATTTTCGACATCTACATAAAACTGCTGTTGCGTGACATCATACACTGTGCAGGGTTGTACATCGTCAAGAACTTCCTTAACATCCTGCACTTGGGTTACGTACTGGACTTGTCTATTAACTATAAGAAACATTTGAATAAATAAAAAAAAAATAGTGGCGAATGTGCCATGTTTATTTGCTTTGTGTTTGAACTTACTGAGAAATGTGCCATCTTCTTGAACAACAAAAAATTGATTAGATGCATCATCGACGTTGTTGGTTGACAAATATTCATAAGTTCCGTAATTATTTTTATCCATTCCTGAATTTTAATGACACGCATTTAAAAGTATAATAAGTAAAAAAACACCGATTTGCATTAATTATTATATATAAATAAAGTACCTACAATTTTTAAATAGGTAATTTCATTTTTATATTGAAAGTATGAATGTTTACAATTTATTAATAACGTCAATGCCATAATGATGTTAATGACAATTGTGGCTTGATACGTGACATTAGGTAATTTTTTTTCGTTTCCAATGTGTTCACTAAATTTTAAATTGCACCTGCATTTATATGAACTGTTTTTTTTCCTATGCAATTTTGTTATGGCAAGGTAAAATCAAAAACATAATTTATAGTAGCGAAAGCTTCACAATGCACAGTATTTCGAATAGCATGCACATAATTTTTCAATTCCACTGTTTCATAAGTAGGTGCTCTAAACTCGCCGATGACCATTAATTGTACAATTTCATTTATCATAAGATCTTTTTCAATACAAGTTGCTTGAGCGTCCCAGTCATTTAAATGGAATCTGGCAAATGTTGCATCACACCGTAGGAATTGCTTAACTAAAGGCAAACTAAAAGCGCAGCCATAATAAACTACGGCTCCATTACGTTCGAGTAATTTCAGCATTACATTTTCATATCTACCTCCTAAACAGTTTAACGCTAAAACAGGCCTAGACAATGATGTGTTAAAATTCGTTAATTCTTCAGCTTCTTTGAGTGTACATACAGAAGTAGCTCCAAGACTTAAAAGGTTCTTCTTAACAATTTCATATCCGCAGTGATTTGCTACTATGTTATAAGTATTTATACCCCATGCTTTACATAATTGTATTATACATTGTCCACAAGGGCTGTTAGCAGCGTTTTGTATAACCGTGTCTCCAGGTTTTAATATTCTGAAATCTTTTAACATTCTGTAAGCTGTACAGGGAGCTATGGTAAGCATGGCGGCCTCAGGTAATGGTAGATTTGGCGAAATAATATGAATATTTCTTTCATGATAAATTCCGTAATAACGCCAGGTGCCAAGTAATCTTGATGTCAGTACTACTCTGTCTCCTGGTTTTACTGTACATACATGATTGCCAATTTCCACTACTTCACCAACACCTTCGTCGCCTCCAATTGATGGTAGGCAAGGTAAGCATAGATTTTTTCCTGAAATAAAACGAAACAATAATTGACACCTATTCAGGTGTAAAATTTCAATGTATACCTATGTAGGCACTCATTGAAATACCAAAATCTGTTGCCGAGGAAAGTATAGAATAAATATAACGGGGGTTAGTGACCCCTATTGTTGACTTATATACTTGTATACTTGTCAGGTTTTTTTTTATGGATGATAATGGAATGGTAACCCCGTCTGCAGTATCGGTATACACCGGCGGGTCACCAGTGCCGGATGATTTACCGCAAAAAAGACACTATTTGTCGTATTTCCTCACTTACAGGGCACTTCCCTCGATAATAAGTCGAGTCTGGGGATTCTTGGCGTCGATACATCTAGCGACGTCCAGTTTTGCGGTCATCTGGAGGAAAAAGCTAAGAACGCTTTCAAAAAGTTGGGGGTGCTCAATAGGTGAGACGGTATTTCACGCCGGAACACCGCCTGAAGCTGTATAAAGCACAAGTCAGGCCACATATGGAATACTGTTCTCATTATGTCACTATATCACACATATATCACTATGAACAGGAGTGCCACAGTACCGACTCCTTCCGTTAGATCGCATTAAATGTCGGGCAGCTCAAATTGTTGACGATTGGCGCCTTACTGTCCGACTCGATCCACTGAAACTGCGGAGAGATGTTGCATCTCTGTGCATCTTCTACCGAATTTATCATAGGGAGTGCTCTGAGGAATTGTTCGGATTGATACCTGCTGCTGATTTTCACCATCGTACTACCCGCCATAAACTAAAATTTCATCCCAAACATCTGGACGAGTGGCGGTCCTTCATCGTGCGTTTTTCAAGGCACTTTCTTCCACGCACAACCACTCTTTGGAATCATCTTCCAGCAGCAGTATTTCCGAACCGATATGACAACATAACCATCAAGAAAAGAGCATATTCCTTTTTAAAAGGCCGGCAGCACACCTGCAATGCCGTAGGTGTTGTGGGTGACCATGGGCGGCGGTAGTCACTTACCATTAGGTGAGCCGCATGTTCGTTTGCCCCGTGTTGTAAAAAAAAAAGATAAGTGAAAATGAAAGAGGTCAGTTAGCCTATCGTGATAAATACATCTGGAATTTAGCATGATGGTTTCCAAGAGGGACCACGTGAAGGTCGACTTGACGGGGTATATTGCTAGCAATGGCTAACTGATAGTCTGCAGTTGGTGGAGAAGGCTTCATAAAATAATATATAACAGGTATTGGTACAGGTGTTGTATATATAATAATATATACAATAGAATGTCAATAATAAAAAAGAATTAATATTTTTACCATTGAGGTTATCTATTCTAACAACAACCCCCCCCCCCCCCTCATACCTGTCAGGTTGACCTCCATATGGTCCCTTTTGAAAACAGATTAACTGATCTGATTTCATACTCACTTATTGTCTGGTACACAGCTGGCATGTTAATAATACAGCGGCAAATTAAATTTAATTCCATAAAAAATAATCTGCTTATTGCATTCCCGGGTTAGAGGTTTTATGTGTCTAATTTTTTAAAGAGCCCAATTATTTAATAAATAGTGCGTTTTTCTAATTTCCATTTATTAATAGGTATTCGAAATTTCAATTATCTTCAGTCATGTCATTTAAGTATTTAGGCACTTAGATAAGTACTTAAATAAAGTATTATATTTTCGTATAAAGTATTTTATTTCAATAAAGTATAGTATTTTCTAAGATATTTATGATTCAAACTATCACTATATTTATTTAGACAAAAGAATAAATATTCAAACCAGATTTAATGCCACTTTTATTGAATTTCATATTTATATATTCACCAGAATGCTTGCAATAAATTGCCAGTCAGTATTAGCATTATTAATTAGATTATTTCATACCTATCTACAAAATTGTTTGAAATATTAAATTAAATTGTTTGTAGTATATTTTTAACACTATGTACATTAAAACAGGATTTGCTATATATATATATATATAAGTTTAAATACTCATATGATACTTTAGGTAAAAGATAGTAAATTATACATTTTACACAACTTTATTATCGTTTATAAGACAATTGCATTAAATATATGGCAATTATGAGCTAAAATCTAGAATATATTTACATCCTGTGAACCCTTTGGAGGTAAGGGCATTTTCTAAGGCTTCTTTATAATTATCAAACTTCACCATTTTATGGACAGGACCTTTTAACTTATTATCACACATTAATGATATAAGATCATTCATCATTTTGTCTTTATCTGTAGGATTAGCTTGTTCATTCCAGTGTGTCATCCAAAATCCATAAAAAGAAAGATCTTTAAATATAAATGCAGATGTAGGAATGCTAACTGGTTCCCTAGACATTCCACCATATGTGACCATTTTTCCGGAATGTTGTAAATGCCTCATCATTTCTAAAGAGCTTTTACCACCTACACAGTTTAAAGCCAATAATGGTTTATCCACTTTTTTGTCTTTAAATATATTTGTGGACCGTAATTCTTCTTCAGTCAATACATAAGTTGCTCCCAAGTCTTCTAAATATTGTTTTAGATCAGTAATGTCAGGCCTATTACGTACAATGTTAATATTTTTTATACCCCATGCTTTACATATTTGGATAACATTTTGGCCACAGGCACTATTTGCTCCATTTTGTATCACAACATGACCATCCCTTACAGAAACAAAGTCTGTTAACATTCTATAAGCTGTGCAAGGATTGACAGTAAGTGTAGCAGCTTCTACTACTCCTAGGTTGTCAGGCACAACTCTTACAACGTCTCGGGTGAATGTAGCAATTGTTCTCCAAGTGCCTTGAACAGGTTTTGTTACAATTACTTTGTTTCCAGGATTGATACCTTTGACTTCTTTACCAATATCTTCAACAATACCCACACCTTCATTTCCAGGAACACATGGCATATTCACTTTAACAGGATATTTACCTAAAACAATGAAGTATACAATATAATTAATGCAATATTGGAGTATAAATAAAAGAATAATACTTAAAAAATAATAAATACCTGTTTTAGAATCTTCATTTCAGAAATTTAAGTTAGATAATCGAATTGTTATTTACTTTATCTGTAAGATAAATTTTGTTAGAAGTGACTTTGTACCTTGTATGGTATTAATGTCGGCAGGGTTGACTGGTGCGGCTAACATTCGGACGAGTACCTCTTGGCTGCCGAGAGGTGGTATCGAACATTCTCTAAACTTTATGACTTGTAGTGGATCTCCAAATTCATTGTAAACTAATTGTTTTGACATCAGATTTCGCACACCGAGTTTTAGATTAAAACATTTGTTCATGTAACATTTTGACGTTGAATATAGCACTTTTGTGTAAGAGAGAAGAGCCATGCTTTTTACTTGGTTCTGTGGATGCAAATGAATAGGGTATTTTAAATTTTCGACTGCGTAATTTTGATTTATTATTTACAAGGAAATTAATTTATAGACTGAATGACTACTTAATGATAAATGATATGATGACAAGTTTTGTTTTTTTTTAGTACATTTGTTCCGTTGTGGAACAGGCTAAGGTCGGAGACTATGCTGCCTAGTCTTCAATATGATAATTAGTCTGGAATGATGTGACATGATGACAGCTGTCAATATTTTTTTAGTACGTTTGTTCCGTTATGGAAAAGGCTAAGCTCGGAGACCATGTTGCCTAATGTTAATATTACTTAAGATGTCAATATTGTTAGCAACGAACATAGTCCATAAACTTAGTCATTGATTATATGTATTTGATTTTTCATAAATGAAGAGAAAAATATTTAATCCGTAATTTAGATAGATCTTAATAGAAGTTGAATCACCATTAGAAAACTACATTCACCCTGAGTAACATAGGCTATATTTATTGCTAGAAAAGTTTAGGGATCCTTACTAAAAATTTAGTAATGTAACTCAAGGTGTAAAAAAAAATGTTAAAAAATATCTTTGGTCGCCTGCGCTGCGGAAACTATTGGTGTTAGAACAAAAGTATGTTCTACAACATTGAAGAAAATACCGATTACTACAAAAAACTTTGCGATATCCCTTTCAGCCTCAAGATTTTTTTTCTCTCAGATTAAATATATTTTCGTGTTTTGGAGCCAAGCCATTTTGCCGGCACGCACGAGACTACTGCACCACCTAACCGCTAAAATGATTTCTTATTGGCTGGTTTAGAATCTCACTATCATGTTATTTCAGCTTCGTGCGTAAAAATGAATTGAGCGCGGTTTTAGGATTTTTTAAAGTTACAACTCACGCCCGTATCGTTCAGGTCTGAAAGGGATATGTCTAACTATTATCGTTATGTCACAATAACCACTTTTTAAAATGTCGTAAAAATGTCCACCCGTGCGAAGCCGAGTTGGGCTGCTAGTTGTTAGTAAAGTTAATCGTCAGACGTCAACTTATTGTTCTGTGACAATTTTATTAAACAGTAATAGAAAAAACAAAGGCACAAAGCCATACATCCTAATCTTCTGTGTGTAAATTTATTAATAATTTCAAATTAATCCCATTCGTGTTTCTATCGTGAAGCAGTTGTATTTGCATGGCTGTGTTTCAGTTTGAACGGTGGGATATGGCGTGAATTTACTGGGTACAGAGGAATAAAACCTGAGTCATCAGGAATGGCAACGTATGGGGGGTATCATGGGCGAAACAGTATACTCTGTTATGTCCATGGTACTGCTCATGTCTATAGGCGACGGTTACCTTTCATCAAATGGACCGTCAGCTTGTTTGCCATTTTAAGTTGATTAAAAAAAAAAGTACAACGTGTATATTATTTGCAACTATTTTAAACTTTTTCACCGCTTAATTAAATTTCTGTTTTGCCAAAGGTTGACTGGGAGAGAATGCTATATAGTATTAAGTCCGCCTTTTGTAGCAGACATTTTTTTGTAATGTGGTCAATAAATAAATAAAAAAAAAAATAAGGAAAAGGTTAAAGAGATTTAGAATTAGAAAACTATCAAGTTGGAATTATTGGTAATGGGGGTCTAGCGGTCCTGTACAATGGTTTCCAAAGCATATGAACCGACCTTGGAGGACTGTGGAGGTCGACCTAACAGGATATATTGTTGCATATTGTAGAGACTAATGATGTCTTTACTAAGAATCCTTTGCTTCTTATGAACAATGGCGGGGTTCGTAAAAAACATGATCTTTTATTTTATTTGTATTGTACTTTGGTACTTCTTATCCTTACTTCTACAGAGTCGAACTAGGCTTTTAGTAAATAAGTGCAATCTTTTACATTATATTATTTTATTAATTTAGTTATGTAAAAAATTGCTGTGTTAATTTGCAAGTCCAACAGCTTCATCGGTTAGGAACTGGCTCACCCGGATGTCTAAATCCTTTCGTACTAATGGTGCTGTAGCCGTGGGCAGCGCAGTAGTTTCTGGTGGTGCCAGTTGTCGTTTTGGAGCACGGAATCGACGAGCACGTGTCAGTTGCCAGGATGCTCCGGTGTTTCGTAATCCTCCAAGAGTTACGCCCATATCTTCGTCTACAGCGGCTAATGCAGGGTGAGGAACGCTAAAATTTTTAACGGATTACTATTATTATTACCTATTACAAATGTAAATTTTTGTTAAGATTTTTGTTTTCACCCTAACTTGCTTAAATACCTAGTTGAAGCAATTTGAACGAAATTTAACATATACATAAACTTTTTCTTGAATACTGCGCTACTATACTAAATCATGCGGGATGGAATAGAGTAGTAATTTGTATTTTATTAAACGCATTATGCATAATAAGATATTCTGTAGTAATTCTATTTTTAAATTTGTTTATTTACTATCCCATAGTGATGGATGCTCGCAACCGTGCTGGTGCTATTACTGATGAAGAAACTGATGAAGAATTTTTCTTTAAGCCTGTAAAAAAAATCGTAGGTATATTTTCGTTTCTACATTATAAGTACTACTCATAGTAAGTTATTTTTAGTTAATAAAATAGGCACTCACCTGAATATTTAACATTAGTGATAGAACTACGATCTTTCCACTTTTGGGAACAAACTGGACAGACCGACCGTCGAATAGACCATCGAGGTATTTCTTGTGTTTGCGAAGTGCTAATTTTTTTGAATGCTGGTATTTCGAGTTGTGTCTAAAATTAAAAATTTTAAGATAAATAATTTCATATTCTGCTTGTTTTAATAAAAATATTGTGTAGAAATAAATGATCAAAATATACAATAGAAATAACAAATGTTCTTAATATTTATTAAATGTAACGCATACCTATCATTCAATCACTTAATGAAATTATATGAAAGTTTTATTAAAGTATACAGTGGGGTAAACTATAAGTTATTTTTTATTTTTATTCTCTAAAAGTAAAGTCCCAATTTGATCTTATAGTAATGTAATTTTTGAGGTATAATTCAGGCCATTTAAGGCCAAATTAATATTTTTCGATAATTTTAGTTAATTAATATATTTTTTTTTTATTCAACTACAATGGCAAACAAACAGACGCCCCACCTGATGAAATGTAGTAACCGTCGCCTATAGACATGAACAGTCTCATAGACATAACAGAGTATACTGTTTCACCCATGGTACCCCCCCCCCCCCCCCATAATTTGCCATTCCTGAGGACTAAGGTAAAGTATATAACAATATCTCTATGCGCTGTAAATTTACTGCTATATCCCACCCTTCAAACCGAAACACAGCCGTGCGAACGCAACTGACTCACGGTAGAAACACGAATGGGACAAAAGTACCCAAGCAAAAGACTTTTGTAAAAGTCTCCCTCTGGTACGATAGTTTAGCGAAAATATTATGTTGACAACTGAAAACGAAATATTCTGTTCAATTCTGTTCTGAATAAATGTCATTACTAACTGACCCGGCAAACGTTGTTGTACCATACCATACATTATTTGTAGAGAATATTTTTTTAGTTTAATAAAAAAAAATAGCTAACACTATAAGTGTGTGGAGATGTAATTACAATAGAAAGAGGAATAGGCGGATTTAATGCTTAGTAGCTTTCTTTACCAGTCAAGTTGAACAGTAAATCACGTACTACATTATTAACTATCAATTCAGAATTTAATTTACGATATAGGTGCAATTACAGAGATGTTTATCGGGGCAGGAGCAGAGGTGGTGGTGAAGGCAAGGATCGAGGGTATATCCATGTCGCGCCGGGTCGATATCCTGGAGACGCGGGAACGAGATATACTTCGCTCTGTCATGCGTATACTCAGACCGTGTACGCAGGCTTCACTTGATTGACTGTTGAAAGATGTGAATTATTATTAACATATAATGCTACATGTTGAGTTTATTAGAATAGACATATACCATACTGTATCAGTCGTTAATTGTCCATTGCTGAACATTAGAGGGTTTTGGCAGTAATTGCCACGCTTGACAGACGGGTTGGCAACCGCAGTTAGACATTGGAGATGTTTTAAGAGGGACGCTGCTACCCATTACTCGACGTTTAACTTTATTTAGTCATTTCTGACGACACCCATATAAAAGGAAGGGGTAGCCTATTCTATGCCGGGACCACATGGCAATAGAATAGACGTATATTTAAGTATTTTGTGAAATGTGGCTTTATTGTATGATAATATAACAACGTAAGATGGTTTTATAACCACTTGACTTATGTCAAAGGTAAGTAAGAGGAACAAATCTAGATATATTTTTTTTCCTCTATTAACAAATTAGTTGAAAAGTTAATAAACTTATTGGATAGCACATCGGTCGAATGATTTCTAAACTTGAACGATGTTTGAATATAATTGCTTTTAAGAAAATGTAACTACTAGAATTATATACCATTAATTCTCAATTTGTCCCATATGACAGCTGATGCCTCAAATGTAAAATTGTTTCCCATATCGGTTCCGAGCATTTTATAAAAATGTTTATAATTTTTAAATTGATCAGATTCTAATTACGGCAATTTAAAGTTCGATATGTACGAGTATTAGATGTCAATCTTTAATAAGATATTGTCTAATCAATAAATGTTATAGGCACTCTAATAGTCTAGTCACTTACCCATGCACTCTACTGCTACTCAAGAAAACTGTGAGAAAGTTGTAGTTAATACACGTAATTGAATCGAGAGTGAAAGTTAAGTGGGAAAACGAGCATTTTTTGCTAATGCCTCTTTGTCATCCTGATACAGTAGGTATCAAGTACATGCGTAATTGTGTAATTATCATAATTATATAAAATAATACATAATTGAAACGTGCCGTTGTTACTACAAGTAAAGTTATCAAAATGATATACGCTTTAAAATTAACAGTTATTGTGATAATAATTACACTAGTCATCTCTTACACGCAGATAAATTCTTGTAGATGGGTAGGTAGGTGTGTTGATTTAATGAACAATTTACTTATTGTGGGGGGGGGATTTAACGTCCTCATTGCTAGCAATATATCCTAACAGGTTGACCTTTATGCGGTTTCCCCTGAAACTATAGTAGGGAATTCGTTACGATAGGCTAACTGACCTGCTTTCAACCTCATCTGTCTCAATCAATCTCTCATTGGTGTCCCGCCAGCAAATACCGATGGCGCAGGCGAGGGTTACCATTCGATTCATTCCCATTAAAAATCTACTTATTGTATCTGTAGTTTTTGGTAGTAGGCATGAGTATATAGTATTATCATTGAATGATGAATGCTTGATTACGATCCAGAGATCCCAAGACTTAGGCTAAACCTTTAAATTTTTAAATTTATGCGGTTCGAAAGGCACGTACCTAAATCCAGAGGTCTTTGAGTATAATAAACGCGGCTTAGATACTATTAATATCAGAGGGCATAATCCACGAGAAGGAGCCAGTACTAAAAATTAATAGACATTGACATAACTCACTCATCGGAGATGTCATCACGAGGTAATTCGAGTGTTTGATCTTGTGCTTCCTCTTGTAGCTCTCGACTACGTGCTCGTACCATTTCCAACAACATTGTTTCATTACCCCCTAAATTGTCTGGTCTGTACGTAAAGTATAAAGTGATTTATTTGTTGATCTATGAGTTCGTTCTACTATGTTTTACTAAAATGAATTTTATTATACGTGGCACAACAGCAGGACAGAGTAGTCTGTGGTGTCATGGTGTTGTTTATATTTACAGACGATGGTTACTTCATTCCAATAGTTGGGCTTAGCTTAATTTTTTTTCATGTGTTTCACAAAAATAATAATAATTCTTTACTAACTGCATTGCATGTGTATCAGTGCAGCTGTTGTATACCTCACTGCGTTGGGATAGCAAAGAGGTAAGATACCGAGGACTAGATACTTCGGAGTTACATAAAGATTCTTGTTGGTTCCCTCGTGCCTTCATTAGCAGGCTTGAATATGGAGAAGAATCGTTGCTCATAAATGAGATACGACGTGGCTCTTCTTCCTTGGGCCTTAAAAATAAGGAATGAATTTAAGTCAAAGTCATGTATTTTTCAGCTTCATATAAACTTCGCATGATATAAGTTATAAATTCAATCTGTAAAATCGTGTCAATTAAAAAAAATTTTTGGCTACAGTTAGCTATTAATTAACCTATCTAATTTATTATATGAACGGTGGTTAGTATTTATCGAACTGAAAGCACTTGGAAAGATCAGTGTCAGTTATCAATATCTATTATGTGATTGTTATACTGAACACAATGCCAGTAATCCACAAAATGTTTTTGACTTAGGGATACGTTATGTCGACTCAGAAGTCAGCATAACTTATTCGTAGATAGTTTAACGAGCAGTAATGTCAGTTCGTGATAATCAATATGGAATTCTTTCGTAATTTTGTCCAAAGAAATTATATGACTATTTGTTTCTTTTAATTAAATGTTTATGAGCAACAGTTGTATCTTGCGGTATTGCTTGCATTGTCAGACTCTATTGAAATCCGTTCAATCATTTAAACATGATTACTATTAATAGCCACAAATATCTTTATAATAGTATAATAGATTTTTTTAGTTTTTACTTGATTTTATAAAATTATACGTCGAATATATTTGTGTGGATAGGTAGTTACATAAACAAATTGAAAACGTTAGTTATTTGATTATAATTATTTTGTTTTATTTCACTATCATTAGTATGCGTGCGACTGCCAACACTTGAAAATTGACTTATTTATTACCAGAAGTTTTACAACTTTCCGCAAAATATTACCTAGTTTAGTAAAAAATGCAAACATGTAAATTGTATATATTTTCTTGCACATTTTATGTAGTATAGCATTAAATTTAAAATGCTTACTTTTTACTTTTGTTCCATCATCGGTTAAAAAAATTAAAAGCTGTAACAATAGCTTTTAGAGACGTCGAAAGTAAACGACGATCGTGAAACGTGACTACTTCTGTATTGGTTTGACTTTTTGAGGGTCTGTGAGTCACGGTGGAGATGAGTCATCACATTTATTACAGATAGGTACGGATTTAGCTGCATTTTGTCAATTAGAATTCAAGAAGAGTAGATTGGATATAAATAATGGTAAGGATAAGGCCATGTCGTTGATGACGAAGCAAACTGCATCAACATAACGCTCTAGTATCAATTTGATAGCTACTATTGTCGCTTATGATAGTAGACCCTTTGATATTTTAAATACTTAGAAATAATTAAAACAAATGAATTGGATTTATAAAATGGTCTTTTTAAAATTCCATACTAAAATGGTACAAAAGAACTCTTATTATGCAATTTTGTCACGGCAGTATATTTCAGAAAATATTTATGATATCGTATAATATCATAAATATTTTCTATATATGTATATGATTTATAATGAAATGTGTAAAAATACCATTTCACTTACTGCTAAAATACAGTTTAATTTGAAATTTTAAATTTAAATAAGCAGAAATATTGTTTATGTGAAAATCGTGTAACTTCTCAATTTTATAATTACAATTTTATATAAAATGGAATAGTTTTTATTGGAGACCAAGTGAGTCATTACTTGTACAAAGAAAAATGGGCGCTCCACAGAAGTTGCAGTTTCAGTATTTATATGTATAAGACGAGTTCGTCTCTGATTGAAGCTATTTAAAAATTTCTACGAATGATTATTACATAATTAAATTGTATGAAATAAGGTAATTATGAAAACTATTTTATTTTGGTGTCGAATATACATGATGGTGATTCATATCCGCTTACTTTCTTATTATCACTGAAAACATTGTAGCTTGTTTTTACGAATAAAATTAGTACTATCAGCATTTTTACATATCAATTCAACATTAATTGAACCAAATTAACACTACTTTTATGTAATTTTAATACGATCAACACATGTCATATATAATGTCGTCGCCGTATACTCTGTTTTTTTGATTGTTACCTCCTGGCGTCTTAAAGGCTTAACTGATTACTATAAAACTTAGAATACACGTACTATATGGAATGGAAAATAACGTAGGCGAATTTTTTACCCTAGTTAGTGACTACATCTTGTTTATGTGGACGAAGTCGCGGGTAAAAGCTAATTTTTAAATATTTTTAATCAAACTATGTGGGGGGAGGTGGATTGTTAGTAATGAGGACACTACCATTGCCAGCAATATAAGGTATATTCAGGCCCACTTCTATGAAGTTTCCCCTGGAAACGATTGTGATGAATTCCCGGTGACTTGGTCACAATGGGCCAACTGACTTGCTATCATTTCCACCAATTATCTTTCCCTGGTGCTTTGTGTGCGTATACCGATAGCGCGTGCGGGGTAACCATTCTACTATTATTCATTAAAATAATATTGTCTGTGTATTTAGCATAGTACTTAAATGTACCTATATAGGCGTGGAAAAAATATGAGAGTTTTATTTATTTTAATTAATAAAACATCCAAAAACATATTGGACGCACTTTAACATGATATTACAAATCTTTATGTTGTTATGGTCTTGAAGGTATTTAATTTATTATAATACCAAAAATCTTTTAGTATGTAATTTAATAACATTTCATATAATAATAATTAAAATAAAATTGCAATGAGATCAAAATTAAAGATACAATAGTAATGTATAAAAGTAGAATGTGAACATAAGTTGTAAAATATACCTATCTTGTCGCATGAGTTATCGGTTAAAATGTATTCAATTTAATTGATTAAAAATATTTGTAATTGTTAGTAATTACGAGTTTGACACTTTACACGTGGCTGTAACTGTATTCTTTTTTAATTAGTTACAGCCACAGACTTTTGATAGCGATAAACCGAACAAGTACTTTAAATTATAATTATGTAGTCAATTACGTGTTTTGATGTTACAAAACTTATTTTTATTAATAACTAGTTGTATTTCGTAGCTTTATCCGCAAAAGTCAGCATATAAAGTATCCTATGGGTTCAGTTAAGATATAACCAACACGGGTACCAAATTTCGTTCAAATTCAGTAGTTTTTGCATAAAAGGGTAACGAACATCCATCCATCGTTACAAATTTTCTCATTTATAATATCAATAGGATAAACAATATCTTGTATGAAATCTTTCCGACCGTGCTATTTGTAATACTGTTCATCTAATCTATTAACGTAAATAGGCTAATTTCTATTAAGCTTAATTTGTGGCCTAAAATTGACACTCGAAGTATAGTACTGAAAATTAGAAAAATTTAATTTTAAGTAGTAGGCTGGTACTTTCTTATTGAAATTATTTTTGTGTATGGAAAAGTATATTTATTAAGAAAGGCTCTTAGACAAATTATCTTCTAAAGAGCTGCTCAAATATTATTCGATAATACTTACGTAAAAATGTGCCGTGAGGAATATAATTTGGAGTAGCGTGCTTTCCAATCACCATCTTTTCGCCAAGAGGATTCAATATTCCTTAAATAAAAAAAACATTAGTAGATTTATACTTAAGTAATTTACTCAGTATTAGGTATCTATTTAAGTCAGACAAGATGATGATAATGAAAACTCATAAAAAGAATAAAGGTGCAATAAAAAACCCTTTCGACAATAACACTGAATGTAATTATTTGATTGATTTGACAATAAGTACCTATTTGTTTATAAATATATCTAATAAGTTTCATATTATGTAAATTTTAACATATTCGTCAAGTATCGATGAAGTTAGATGATTAGTAATGATTATAATCATCATCATCATCATCATATCAGCCGTTAATTGTCCACTGCTAAACATATACGTATAGACAATTTAGAATTGTAATATCAACTTTTCTTTGAAAAAAGGAACAGTAGAGTGTCTTGCCCGTTCCACTCAGCTGAAATTGCATTCCGAATGGATGGTACAATCATATGAAATGATTATTCAAAAATGCTTAAAACTAAGATTACTTAAATAAAAAATATTCTTATTCTTATATAAACATAGTGAAAAAAAAAGACAACTGAAGAAACGTTTCCAAAGAGGAAGAGCAATCACCTCAAATGGTCACTAAGGATGTGTTAACCCTATTTATTGTGGACATTAATGGACGCAGGTGGCACAAGATTGTTCTATATAACTGCATATGGGGAGCTGTGTATGTTCAGCTGAACTTAGTTATCATGATTAGTTGTTTTCAGTATATTCCCAGCTCGATTCGTTGTAAGGAATGGTGATAGTGTATCATTTAAAAGAATTAAGTATTCATAAACGTCTAACGTCATTTTGCACTAAACCTGAATTTTTTATAAACATATAAATGAACATGTAGTTTACTTTCGTTACTAAATTGCCTGAGACAATGTACAATCGAACTTAGCATAGCAAATTAGTAATAAAATATTAATAAAACTTTTCCAAGTATGTAACCACAAAGTACGCCCACTGTTCTTGCAACTTGCTTCGTATGTTTGTACTCGTAACTCTTCAGATACCTAAGTGTAATACGAAGTAAGCACATAACAAGTCGAAGGTCGCAATTCTGTGCCAAGACCCAACCATAAACGGACATTAAACCTTATGAATGAATCGTAATATAAATTGGATGGTTTTTGTGAGCTATTTTATGCCGAGTATATTACCAAATAGTGTTTTACCTCGACAGTAAGTATTAATTATATTAAACCTCAATAATAGTTTACACATTTCAGACGAAATGTATGTGTGGCATTTTTATTTGACCTTCTTTTGCAAATAAAATTGTCAATAAAACTTGTATATATGTTATGTAGGTAAATTGCATTGTATTACATTTTAGACCTTATATTGCGAGCCTCCTGGTACAGCGGCAAAATTTGCTAAGCTATGGTGTCCAAATTTATTTAGTGAAATAACAAAATGTATATCTGAATAGATCTTAAGAAGCTGTAGTGAATATTGATGGCAAGGCCTAGTCTACGATAACATATGAATATAAACATCTTTTAATTCAATTCGCGTTTAATACTTGTTTTACTAAAACATTGTACTGCTAAGTCTGCATTTTGCGACAAAAATAATTATTATCTAATAGAGTAGTTAGAGTCGGTAAATAAAGAGTAAATTAAGATATAAAAATTAACAGTAAAGAGCAAAAATAACTTTAGGAAAAGAACAGCTCTACTGCCTATAATTATTTTTCGGAAATGAATATAAAATTAATGATAAATCACATTAAACATACTAACTGCATTTCAAATAGTTTTAAATTCGTAATTTGTTAATGTAATTCTATTAAAATGTCACAAATATTCCATAATATACAGATTTTGTATATAATGTACTTAGTAGAATTAGGTATATAGAGTCTTTTTGATTAGAGATAAGTGACAGTAGATAATGTGGTGGTAATATCGTAATGTCGTATTCCATAGAAAGAGAATGTCTGGTATTTTTATTCAGATGAACAAATATGTTATATTCAATATCTTTGATTCTTAATATTAAAACGTCAAAATTTGGTAAATATTTATTAAATAGCGTTTCTAACCTCTTATCTATAATGTATTGAGAAATTATCTTATTTTGGTTTATAAAGAAAATTCATGGATTTATACATTTATACTAGTTACGTTGGAGGGAGGGCATTGGTTTCATCCTTTTAGGTCAACCTTTACGCGGCCCTCTGGAAACTATCTAGGCTAATTCCTGGTAAATTTGTAGCGATGGCCATCTAACCTTAATTTGTTTCTACCTATTATCTTTCATTTCAAAACGTTTAATTTTCATTAATTAAAACAATACGTTTTTTAGGTATTGCCTTCGAAAATAATTAACAGAACATGGAAGGTTAGTGGAATATAGTCTAAGTGATCTCTAAACTTGAAATTAATGTGCCTTAAGCTGTGTTTATTGCAGAATTTTGAACTTGAATATCTCAGTTATATTACTTAGTAAAGTAGCAATAAAAAACGACGCCTCAGGCATACAAAGTCATCCATACTATTTACATATTACAAAAAATATTACAAACATAATATATTTAAAATAAGATTGTAGAATATTCAATGATAGTATTGCACGGGTGATAGATGATAAAATTTACATAAATTTAAATACCTATGACCCCGATAGGCATTTACTATATGAGCAGTAGCGACGAACTTCCTGTTCCATAGACATTTAATTAACTAATTCATAAAAAAAACATTTTCTCAGCTTTCTTCGATAGTGGAACGATCTTTCCTATTGTGACCTTCGAAGACTCTGCAACTTGCAATTGGTAGATATTGTTCATTATTAACTATGTTGTAAAATATATGTAAGGGTTAGTTATTTTTCCAATTTAGCTTGAAATACTGATGACATTCTATGAAGTTACTATTTAAGATATCCCAAGTTTATTTTTGTTATATTAATTAGTTAAGTACCAATTTGCAATTCCACTTACACCAATTTGTGACTTGTGTTTGTAACAAATTGTAAAAAAAAAACATTTTTTAAGAAAGAGTATATGTGTTTTCTAATAATACCAATATTTTAACATACTCTTTTTTTTAATATTTTTTTTTCAACAAATTATTGATAAAAATTAATCATGTTTCCATTTCCAGAAAAATATGTATGATAAACTTATCATTTTTATATTGCTTCATGAATATTGTATGTAGAGATTGTAAACGTATTATTGCAAAAAAAAAGATTAAATTCACTTTTTATTAAAATGTATTTTACTAAGTCAAAGAGTCAGAAAGTTTAAGGAAATAATCTAGGTACAAATTAACAAAATTTGTCGTTTTATTATTATAAACTATTAATTTTTAACTGCTGAAAAGATGTTAGCCGTGATAAAATATATACATGTATTAATGATATATTTTTTACTATGATTTTTAAAAGGTTCATGATTTGACTGTATTTTTAATTAAGGCGTTTTCTAAAGTGATATCTCGTGAGATATTAAAGGTGTTTCTTATTAACCTAGTAAAAGTTGACCTCGCGCCATGATGTGAAATTATCTCAACCTATCTAGTTAATTTATGACACATTTTAAACGATCATTAATTATAGTATTTGAGTGAAAATTATAAACAATTATCATCGTCATCATTTTAATTATTTTTTGTTGCGTATGATCTCTTTCACATCATTATACATTGAGTCTTTAACATAATTACGACATAATATTCGCGGTAATGCCCCTAGTATTGTTCATGTTATAGGCAATGGTGGGCCTTATATGTCAGTTACATAGAAAAAATATTTGAGTAAACTATTGGAAAATTCATTATCTGTATTTTATATATGATATCATTACAAAACATCAGACGGGTCGTATGGTATGTATATAATTAATAATTATACTTAACAATACAGATGTAATCATAATTCTAATCACGCAAGGTATAACGAAACGGGTGAGGTAGGTAAAACAACTTTAAAATAATAAACGTGCATCACAATTCAAAAATACAAAGACAAAGGGTAAAGCAAGGAAAGGAAATAATGTCTAAACTGCTCAAGCGACCGCACGGTTTGTACGAAATAAAAATATTTTCATATTTTTATTATGTCGCAAAAGTTGTTTAATTTAATGTAGGTACGTCTAATAGTTAATACGAGTATATTCAGGACTAATGAATATTTTATACTACGTCTATGATAATACCTAAATGAGTATTCGAGCGAGCTTGCGAGTTAGATTATCACTCGGATTTTTTTTGTTATCGGCACATAAAAGACCGCGGATACTATTCTTAATTTATGGTTAATGGTATTTTTGTTTTTAGCGTTAGCTATATTTGAAATCACGATTAGTACGAAGTTGGGATAGAATAGCACTTGGCTATCATTGAAAACTGAAATATTTACTATTTAAAAGTAAAAAAGAAAAAAAAAAATAGTTTTTCAACATGAAACCAATAAATAAATATACTTATTTATTATTGATCTACGCCGTACTCACTGTTTTGTGATTACTTGTACTGTTTGTTTATATCGACTTCCTAAATTGAAACGCTTGGTGTCACAAATAGGAATAAGTGCGTACATTATCGAAAAATAAATCGTTGATCTACAATAATTAGAATTTTTTAAATATGTATGTAGATCTGTTCGTGCGTAATAAATGTGATAAAATAAGTCTAATATGTGCCTAATTAAAATAAAATGGATTATGAGAGATAGTGTTTTATTATTTTTTATAAATGAACAAAATTTAGAAAATTAATTAAAATAAGTTCGTTTAAATTGGTGAAAATAATATATTTACTGAGGAAAAAATACAATCCTGTTTATTGTTTTATAATTAGTTGAAAATCACACTAAAAACAATACCTTATGTATGTGTTAGGTACTTACATTTATTGTTTTAGCAGCAATAAGTCAACGACGTGAGACTTATTTAGTAACGTGATTACCTTGGAATCTATTGACCTGTGACGAGTCAAGATTGTGCGCGTTTAATATAAGTATATATAATATTATTCTTGCTTGGATAATGTTTACAGTACATGCCCATATAGTGAACGTTACATAAGAAGTGATCTATTCTACATGTTTAAGATTTTCCACAGCATTGATAGTAATAATGCCACTTTAAGAACCTATACATAGTATTCATATAAATAAGATCCAACTGAAAAAACACCCTAATTAGATATCGATAGAGTGCCTTTTTAGTTGAGTCTAGAGGTTACCACAGGGGTACTAATCCACTCGCTAAAAAAAAAACGCCTAAATAAGGCACACATTCTGGTGTAGAACAAGTCTTTTTTGGCTAATATCCAACTATGCTCACTGGGTTTAGTAGTAGTAGCATTTAGTAATGGGAATTAGTAACCTCATTATTAATAGTATAGTCTGTTAGATTCACCACGAAACACGATGAACTTATTGTGGTGAATTCCTGGTGACTTTTTAACGTTCGGTCAGTTGACCATTAATTTTCACTTATCATCTCTCACTGGTATTCGATCAGTGTAAACTAGTGTAAGCACAGACAGGAATATTTTTATCTATTATAAAAATATCCACTAATGAAACCAGAACAATATGACAATGAATAAGTAATTGATTTGATGGTCTGCATACTCGCATTATATAACATTCAATTCATTTATTAGATTTATTGCGAATGTCTAGGGATTAAAAAAAAAAACATATAAATTAAATACAGATAATTGACCTCCATTATAGCTGCAGATACGATGTTTTGTATACCTACTTAAATAAGGTTTTGGGTTCGGTTCCTTATTGGATAAAGCTAAGAAACAAAGTTTTGTAATTTGGATTGTGTTTGGAAGTTCTAGATTGTATGTTTACGTAGTAGCTTATAATGCACGGTATTCTAGTCTTGGGATCACGCATTATATATATATATATATATATATATATATATATATATATATATATATATATATATATATATATATATATATATATATATGATTTGGAATAGCTAACAAGCTAACGGCCTAACTGAAGGAAACAGGTAACCGATGCCTGCAGATGTAAACAGCTTCAAGGACATAAACAGAATAAATTGAGGCGCCTATAGTGCACTCCTCACGAGTTGTCATTTTGCAGACCACGTTGTACAAAATTTATTTATTTACCCTTTATTGCACCACTTAAAGGATAATACAAAGATAAATGTATATTACCTTTATGAAGTACAAAAGGCGGTCTTATCGCTAAGGTAATCTCTCCCAGACAACCTTTGGGTAGAGGAGAAAGAAAAAAGACGGTAGCTAATTAATTAATTATTCCTACTAGTATAAGAGAAGGAAAATATAATCTTAAATGCATGATTTGATGATAATTATAACTATCTCCCATGCCCAGAAGTTGGACGTCAAGGCTTGTAATGATGATTTATAAATTAAAAAGTAATGTCATACATATTTCTCTATTACTTTATAGCTCTAACATATAGGGTAATGTAGTAAAATATGTAATAATGCCGTTTTCAGAAGTTTAGTCCTCTATTGGTTCTGAATAAATGTACCTAATTATCTTTATCCATGTCCTGATACAATGTTAACAGTGTCGTGGGAGCGCTTCTCTCTCATTATGATAATTTTGTTCATTCATTGTCAAACATTCTGATTCGAGTTACAGGCTTGCAGCGTTTAGTTGGCAAAGTACGAGTCGATAAGTAATTTGATTTGGTCTTGTTGTGGTTGTAGCGCTGTCATACGGCGGGGGCGGCGAGCCTGTCGCCGGTACAGCCGCGGCGGCCCGTCTCTCGGGCTCTCGGCCGCTGTTACCTCCTTGACTCTAGACTAGTCGTTCCGAACGCGATCACCCGCGTACACGTCGCGCCGTTCGATGCAACACGCTCAACGATAACGCGCCCCATTTAAACGAAACGCTCACTCTAACTACACAATCGGCTCATTCACACTTACGATACTACGCACTGACTATTACTGAATTAAACGTCGATTGTCCTAAATTGCAGGATTGGTCGGCGCGATCCCTGAACCGGCTTTAGGACCATATGATCAGTATTGTACTCGTCCGGCCTGCATGGCCCTGATCTCCGATATCGGTACGCAGTCACGATGTGGACCAACAGTTGAAAAGTGCATTTGTCTCTTTGTCTAGACATCCGTGTTAAGATGACTCAGTGACAGAATACTTTCTCGTGGTGTATGACAATATTTCTATCTTGTGACACGATTATGTTGGAGATGTGAATGTTGACGTTGTTTTATTTATTAGTGATAAATAATAGGGTAGTGCAATGGCTGGGGCTAATGGAGAAGGTGGTGTTATGGAGGAGGTATCACCCGGAAATGCAGTGGAAGGTCGTAAGCGCGGGCTGAGTGGCTCCATGTCTCTTCGGACGCGGAAGCTGGGCCGGCGTCTGTCACGAAGCATGTCTATAGTGGCTATGAAGCTGCCAGAAAAGGCACACAGCATTACAAGAACATCCTCGAAATTGATGAGGACTGCTAGTCGTGATAAGAAGAATCGGTCCTTTGAACTCTCAATAATACTTCCGGACAAAACTCAAAAGCAGGTACGTAGTTATTATTAAGTTTATTAAATAACAAGACTCAATTAAGATTGAATTTAAAAAATAGAAAGCAAACAATTTAAGAAATCTGAATCGACCAAACTAATATCAGCATTGCACAAGTTCATTGTAGGTAATTACAATACTGATATACCTATAATATATAATATAATCTACAAGATAAGATATCAATTAGAACCATGAAAGTGAATAGGTAATAAATATAAAACTAGTTTATTTTTATTATTGATAATTCGAAATATAATATATTATTGATAATACAGATGTCACAGGTACCTTAGTTAAGTTCTCTGTGGCATTTATAAAGTAAAAACTTTAGCTTTAGGCAGCAAAGTTTCAAAGTTATTATATATATTATAGTATTTCAAAATAAAAAAGGCTACATACAAATATACACATCATGCTATTATTTTTAATGTTGAACATTCAAATTGCTTAAGGTACTAAGAAGCAAATAAGGATTTAGAAATATTATAAAAAAAGTTAGGTGATTAATTGATCACCTAAATAATACAATGGGCACATTTGACTCAGTTATGGGTTACAACCAATTGTCATTTTGCGGTAATGATTGTGATTGTATGTTGTAGAGGCAAACAGGGTTGTGCTTACATGTAAACACTAGCATATACGTATAAGCTATGCATTTAAATGTGCTCATTGCAATTTTGTTGGTGATTTGTTTCGCCACTACACGATGACGCGTGTCGCCTACACTTTGGATTTCTCCATTGATTTAATAATGAATTCAAGCACCTTTTGCCTTCACGTCGCAAAGCATTGTTTGGCTTGTCATTGAACTGGAAAATTTAACACTATAGCTTATTGGATAGTACTCAATAGTTTCTATTGAACTATTATGTAGAACTAAGGCCATTAAAGTATACATTAACTTATAAAGATGCATCATGACAGTAGAAGCAAATATTTGAACCTTTTAATATATTATCATACTTTATCCTGAGAAAATCAATATATTGCACTTTAGAAGTAATCGAAAATACACATATTATTATATTTATTTTCTATTTTAATATAACTATTTTTACAAACACTAATCTAATACATTACCAAATAATGTGATGTCCATGTATTCCATATTATTTACTATTTTTAAAGCATTGCTGTATATTTTTAATATATAACATGTCTTAGTATTTATTCGTTACATCTTACAAGAACAGGTTTTTGTATCTTTGTTTACAGAATCAGCAAAAAAGTTGATTAAATCTGCGATTTATAAATTGTGATATAAAGATCATGGCTGTTAATTTACTTTTTGTTAATGTTAAAGCACTTCCTTGAAAAAGCAGAGAGCAAATCTGTTCCGTTGAATTGATTTAATTATTTACTAATTAACGTCAACATTGGAAACTACCGGTTTTGGAGAGCTTATTTCATAATTCCTATTTCGTACATAAAAAAAAATACTTTAAATATTCTTACAAGTCGCCAAAATTCTTCATACTAATAATAAATAAATATCTATTTTTTGCGTGTAGTAATAATAACTATTCAACTGGAAGTCATAGTACATAATATTTATCTTCATACTATACTAGAACCTTCATCTGTTTAGCTGTTTTGAATTATTTCTTTTTACAGTTTTAATATTTTGATTTAATGCAATGACTATAATTTGAATATATCTATGTAGAAGGAAAATATTTGTTAACCGTGTTTAATTCAAGAACGTGACAAAGGATTCTGAGTCTTTATTAACATTGTGTACATAACATTACCTAGATCATTATAGGAAACAATACCACTAGGGACAACGGTATAATAATGTTAGTGTCCCTAAAGTTTACAACAGATTTAAAATAAAATATATAGAAGTATAGGTATTGATAGATACCAAAATTAGCAATATTCAATTTACTGTTTGGTAGATAATTGTTTAATATATAGTAGAAATGGAGTGTTATCCTGACTGCTATGTTTTCATAGCTAAAATATGACATGTGTTTAGATGAAATATAGCGAATGTAATAAGATTTCATCATAATTAATTTATTATCTTGTATTTTGCAATAATAGAAATATCTTTGCTTTGTAAGAAATAACTATAGGTCGTTTATCTAATTGTTTCAATAAAGTTAATGTAGCGAACGGTGACATTCCATTTAACGTCAATGAGGAAGACTTCCCACGTGTTGCATCAAGAGGGTCGATGTATTTAGGGTTGCCGATACGGTAAAGTATTATAATTAATGTGTGATATGATTTTAGCCATTAAAATTAAAAAAGAAGTGTTGTATAGTTTAGTGTCTGATAGGTACATAAGAATACATCAATATGTAGTTGGTATTTATTAGGTTTAAAATATTATTAAAAGTGCATCTATTGATTAATTGTTGAGGCATATTTGAGCAACGATATGAGAATTATATATTTTAATAACATTGTTTGATAGAATATAGAAGTTAATTGCGAAAAGTATTCATCTGTTTTGTATTCTATTTAATGTCTAGTGATAAAAATAAAATTAGCTTGAGTGAAGATTTTGAAGTGTCTGTCTCCAGTGCACTAAAATTTTTTCAGACGTTTATATAGAAAAGTTAGTAATTCGATTGATGATCGAATTGGAACTTCATTAATATTAGTATGCATGTCGTTATATATGTTGTTTTTAGGTAGAGAAAGTGCTTTTGAATATTGGATTTTAATAGTTATTAATATATTTTTTATTGCTTGCTTTTTATAGAATTATTTCAAGAATTGATAATTACTACTAATACGGCACATTAATTAGGAAAAAACATTAGTGACTAAATTATCCAGATACGTAATGAGAAGCGGCTAGTTCGGTATGGTAACGAATAGTAGGAGAAAGTTTTGTCGTAATGAAATACCTACACGTTAAGTAGCATGTGTCGAACTATGATGACGCACAATTAATGAAATGAAACTACAGCAATGAGTATATTAATTAGATGTCATAATACTGCTTATAAGGCATTCTTCAGATTAAACATTCTACAAAGCAAGAATATAACTATGAATCAGTTCACAATTGGTGAATATATCAAAAAAGTGTAAAATGCAGATAGTTAGAACTTACTCTTTTTTGAAGTCACTAGTAATTAATCATAAATATTAGAAGGTAACAGTACTACTAATAAAATTCTTGCCACAAACTTATTCTTTGATATTTTTGTAATTAATTTCTGGAGCTAGAATCATTATGTGTGATAGACTTAATGGCAAGAGTGCACTCGTCTAGTAATGTGTTAAAATTTAGTTGGTCACGTTTTGATCAGAGATGAATTCGCTTCGCATCATTGTCGGAAAGATAAAATAAATTGGTTATTTATTATAGAGACAATTATATAATAAAAGTTTTCTCGTATAGACGTTAGATGGTTCCGTGCCTAATTATTAATTTAATAAACAGATAATATAATTGTGTTATAATAGTCTCTAATATGAAATGTTAACCTTTTATCTCTTTTCGTCATTTTAACTTTTAAATTTGAACTTCCATTAATTACTAAAATTCTTTATATACTTACTACATACATATTAGTTTTTATAAAAAAAACAAAAACTTAGCTTATTATAAAAGTAAATTAAGTTTAGAAAAATCAGTTTTGCGACATCTTTATTTCTATACAGTTCATCTCATCTTACAAATAAGAAAGTTCGATTATTGCCTTGACATTTTACTTACAAATGTAAAATTATCATACAGTTGAGGTTAATACAAAGTTTACTCGTTCCACTATGCAGACTGTAAAATTTCATACAAACGCAATCGTTAACAACGTTTGTAGAGAAAGTGGCGAATATAATGTTCAGGTGGAACTAACTACTTGTGGAATTAGTTTTGATCGATGTTTGTTTGTCTTCAATGTAGTTTCATATAATATAATATAATGTACGTACTTATGTATGCACATTTTTTTCGATATACTTTTTGAAGACTTTGATGATGTAATTTATTTAATTCTAAAATAAAGAAAATGATTATTTAAATTAGGTATAAAGTTATCTGTATAATCTACAGTCATCACCATTATTGTTATAGACATATTTTACACTACGTTCACTTCTGGTAATATTATTAAATGACAATGACCGTTCCTACATACATTATTTTGACATAAAATTTTTTTGTTCACATTGATTGTTATTTGTTTGTTGTTTTAGTTTTGATAAAATACTATCTTGGAGAATATTGTCTTCAAAAGACACACAAGTTTCTATTTTCATATTTTATTGTTTGTAAATGACGATTAATAGTACCATTGTATAAATTAATCAATAAGTATATTATTAAATGTAATTAATATTCATACATACATTACTGTATAAGTAAGTGTCCTAGATAATAGATTAGATCAGTATGTAGCGTCACATAGGGGCTTGTGCCTGTCACTCATTACACAGTCATCATGTATTAGTTCAGGAATTATATAACCAATAAGTAGTTTCTGAGTGAATGCATTAAGAATTATGATTAATAGCTTTCTAAAAGTTTTTCGGTTTAATTTTATAGTGCAAATTTATTATTGTAGGTAAATATTCAGTACTATACGGTCGGTATATATATATATAAAATATGTATTTCTTGAATTGCTTTTCTTCATAATTCACTTCATTTGAGACGGTTTCGGAGATTTTTATTTTTATAAGGCAAATTTAATGCTTTTGAAATGAGATTTGAAATACAGTTATGCTTAATAATATTTGTGAATTGAATTTACACAAACTCTATAGCGAAGGCTGTAAGACACTCAATTCTTATTTAATATTTGTATATCTAGTACGAATTATGTATCTATCTATTTAATAAAAATGTAACTACTTTCAGTAAATTGTTCAAATTAAAATCTCTAAGTAAAAGTTGTTTCGTAACAATCTTTGTTACCACTTCCAAATCATTTTACATTGAGTTATAACGAGGTACACTTTTGAAAGGAATGATGACTATTTTCTATATTCCTTGTGGTAAACCGGTTGAGCGGTCCTGAGACTGT